TCAACAAATAAATGGACACTTAATTTTTCTTTTATCAATCAACCAAAAACGTCAAAAAATCGCGCAAAGTTTGGGAGTGGGGCTCGTAATGTCATTTCCAAGTAAAAATTGTATCAATATAACTATCTTTTTATTTTATTAAAATGAATATGTCTATGTTTTGATAAAAAAAGAAAAATACGGGTCCAATACTTTTTGATAATCAAAGAACACAAGGTCAGAAGGGTGGTCATAGACCGTTTGTACGGGAACCGGTGTTGCCGGCTCGTCCCCACTACTTTTCCACCTAACCAGTTTTGGTTATTATTAAAAATAAAATGTCTTCTTTCAGTAAAATATCCTATCTTCAATATTTAATATACTTTTCATCCCACCACCTCGGAAAGTGTAATTTTGCGCTTCGAAATCTGGCTGGAAAATTCTATTTTATTCGCTTGAGCGGCAAAGTAGATTTGAATTTAGAACATCACATATAATGAGTACTCAATATAATTGTAAATTCAAAACGTCATTAAACCTATTTAATGTAACCTCTATGGTGCCAAATTTATGATTAGAACTTTTTAAATTGTGAAAAAATTTAAATTTGGAACCTTCTTGGTTTCTTTGTTTTATTTGCGTGCTTCGCGCCATTCTAGTTTTTCACGTTTTATTGCTTAAATATTTTGTCATTATAAATTGTTTTCTTTTTCATTTTGTCATTTCCTCGCTGAGGTGGGATGAAAAGTTACGTATTGCACTCGAGTGGAAAGATTTTTCACCTTGTGCTCGTTTGTTTCCCTCGCTGACGCTCAGGATTCTAATTTAGAATCACTCGCTGCGCTCGTGATTCAACTTTAGAATCCTTCGCTGGCTCGGTCATCCAAATCGAGCACGCGGTTAAAAAGGAACTTTCCACTCTTGTATAATAAATAACTATTCCCTCCATGTGAGGTAGCCGTGGGACGCCCTGTATATATATATATATACAGTAGAACCCGTTTAATACGATTTCTCGCATAATACGCCATTTTGCGTCAGTCCCTGCAACTTGAGACAAGTTTTCATACATTTCTTAATGCTTAATACGATTCGTCATCCCGTTTAATACGCCTAAATCGGCACCATACATATTACCTCTTACAGCAGCGGCCAGCGATTGACGTCACGACCAGTGGCGGCGCTAGGCGTCGGAGACGTCGGCCACCGCCGACGGCCTCGCGCCTGAGGGGGCCTCGCAAAAAATTTTTACAAGTTACCTATTTATTTTCGTTTCTCCTGGCCTGGCTTAGATAGCCGACCCCGAACAATTCGGGGAAAAGCTAAGCAGATGATAGTGACTTTTATTATTTTCGAACACGTGCGTGATGGAAGCGAGTAGTACTTTACGGGTATTCAAAATCGTCTGTCTGGCAACACTATTTTTGTAATTAAATTTCTATGTTTGTAATTATTTTTTGTCTTCATTTGATTATCAACAATAAAACTCGTTTACTATACGTTATTTTATAATTTGGCTCACTTAATTTAACGGTTTTTGTCTGCGAAGTAAAATAGGCCTCGCGAACTTGATGTCGCCGACGTCCACATGTGGTCTAGCGCCGCCACTGGTCACGACTGTCGAGCGCTGCACCCTAAGCGACCACCAGGGATTTCCTGGGTATTCTTCCATTAAATTAATTGATGATCTTGTTGAGAATGTGAATAACACACAAGAAGAGGCCCTAAATGATAATGATCAAAAGATGAGTCAACTCAAATTTGTCACACGCCCAGGCATTATCAGCAATTTAAGACACCATGTAACTTCTTTGAATCAAAGCAAAGACGCACTGCAAAAGTTCAATTATGTTGAAAATATTGTAATAGGGGTGATGACGGGGTACAGTAAACGAAATTCTATTTAGTCCGTCAGTTAGATGATCAAAAAATAATGGACACGTATTTTTTCTTCGGGCAATCAACCATAAAATGACAAAGTTATAGCGCGTCAAAGTTTGGGAGTAGGGGCTCGTGACGTCACTTTTGAGTGAATTTTCACTTATAAGTGTACTCAAACGTGACGTCATGCGACTTTTCAAATCAATATATCTCTGCAATGTTTATATTATGTGAAAAAAGAAAAAGTATGTGTCCAATACTTTTTGACAATCTACCTGATAAACGAAGAAAAAAAAATTAGTCATCATCCCTATTGCTTATGCCTCGAAATCTTATTGACGAATTAAAATAAGTGATTAATTTAAATACAAACGTACACTAATACACTACATATATATCTTGTATAACGAACATAATTTATAATTGTACATTTAATACCACAATATTTACATTCTAAATTTCCCTATCCCACAATCCCGTTTAATACGCTTTCCCGCTTAAGACGCATTTTTGGGTAAGTCCCTGTGAAATCGTATTAAACGGGTTTCACTGTAGATATTTGTTTATAATGAAACACGAACATTAATACATTTCTTCTTTTTATTAATAATATTCAATCTAAGCAGACTTAATAGTAACTAAACAAAACAATCTTTACATTATTCTAAATTTCCTAAAATATTGAGATGCTTAGGCGACAACAAAGTACTCAAGCCGAAAAATTCTTCACGAAATATAAAAATAGTGCGTGTGATAATAAATCAACGTAGAAAAAAAAAACAGTATAATGTGATTCAACTAAGAATAGGACCGACTGGGCGCCATATTGTGACGCCATAGCTGTCAATTCAAACCAAATAGGTAGAGTCGGCAAAGAAATGTTGCTATTTAATAAAACTTATTTACTAAGATTAAATGAGACAAAACATCAGATTTTTTTATAAAATTAATTTACTAAGGTTGAGAAAGAACACAACCGATTTTTAATAGTATTTCTTTATTAAGACTGTGTGAAAAAAACATTAATCAGAATCTAGCTCTTCAATTTCGCTCATCTCTGCATTACCGCCGGAGAAGTTATGAATAATCATGCAGTTCACATACGAACATGCATCCTTTAAGTAAACGAAAGTTTTAAATCGAGTTTCTGAACGCAACATAAAGTGACATTTGGTTGACGATTTAGTTTATCAAACCATTCATAGCCAAAGCTGAATAAATAAAAAAATGGGTGCGTGTACTTATGTAGGCGCGTGAGAAGTTATCCTTCTTTGGAATCGTTTAAAATTAGTTTTTAATTGCATGCAAATAATTAATTACAATAAATTAATAAAAAGTCTGGAAAAGGACACAGTCAATAAAGTTCAGTTTTAATTTGAAAAAATAAATAAATAATCAAAATATTCAATTAAAATCGCTACTGAATATAATTTATTAGAACATATGTGATTTGCACTTGTATGAAACTCAAACACGTATTCCGAATATACAAACTAGAAACATGTGGATAAATATTATAAACTAGCGGCCCGCCCTCGCTTCGCTTCGGTGTAGAGCTGAAGTGTAGACTACAGTTTTTGTTCTCAGGCTTGTATTATACACAATGACATTCATCTATGATTCTTCTTATACCTGCATGCAAAGTCTCAGCCCGATCGGTTTAAAATTGATAAAGTTTCATACAAACTTTCATTCCTTATTTTATCCCCTTGGGATTTTCTTTATATTTTTTTCAGTAAGAACCTTGTACAGAGTATTAGAAAACTACAAAAAAAAAACAGCCAAATCGGTCAAGCCGTTTTCATGTTATGTCGTGACAACGGAAAACGGGTTTCAGTTTTATATATATAGATATGAAAACAGTCTCTGTTCTAAATTCAAAACTCGTAACTTTTCCCGATGTTTGTTGCACGTGTTTCCCGCGCTAGGACCGCGAGTGGCCGCGCATGCGTACGGTGCGGCGGGCGACGCGGTAATGGCAGCGCGGCACATGGTGTTAATTTTTTGTGTTACATGATGCGCGCGCATCTTAAAATTACACTCTCAACAATTTTTCAGAACGCGCCTAAAGAAGTATAACTTCAAAAAAAATCAACTAATATTTATATCAACATTTGTTATTGTTTGTTTTAAAATGTATGGTTTTTATTCTAGAACCAGCCGAGTGCTAAAAACATGTTCAGAGTTTTTGACGTGACAACGTCTTAAATTAGGTTGCGGCTGGGAGTCACTTATGAAAAAGTGTAACGCTCGGTAACGTTACGATGAGTCTCTCGTGTTAAGTTTAAGTTTACATGTACAATGTTTTAGTAAACAAAATATATTTCTATAGTTAAAATTTGTGCAATTCTTATTTTCATTCAATTCCTTGTTCCTATTGTGCAATTTAATTATATTCATATCAATAAATATTCTACCGAGAAAAAGACGTTGTCACGTAAAATCTTCGCCCGTAAAACCGACTTTACAGGCAACCATTTTTTTTTTGCAAACCGTACTTTTCAAGCGACATTTGACAGATGGAGGTCATTGGCTTTCCTATTCTTATTTGAATCGCATTATACCTAGCACAAACCGTCATCAAATTGGAATAGTCTGCGAGAGCGAAATATCAATATCTAATTTTGTATGGAAACTTAAACAGCAGCGACACAAAGTATGTAATGAGAACTAAAAAAATCGCTATACATTTGACAATGACATTTCAGACTCGCAAACGTTACGAATTCGATATTAGTTCGTGCTAAGGGTACTGAGCGGAGCTCGATGGCGCAGGTGATTAGTGCGTTCGGCTGCGATCGTTGAAGTTGAGCAACTTTCGCAGTGGTCGGTCATTGGATGGGTGACCAAAAATTTACTATTTCGAGCTCCTCCGTGCTTCGGAAGGCACGTTAAGCCGTTGGTCCCGGCTGCATCTGCAGTCGTTAGCACCCACCAACCCGCACTGGGCCCCCGTGGTGGGTCATGGCCCAATCTCCCTAATCCATCCATAGGGAAGGCCTGTGCCCCAGCAGTGGAGACATTAATAGGCTGATGATGATGATGATGAAGGTAGGTGTACTGATTCACATGATATAATTACTAATTTTCGACCAAGGTAGTGAATAAGCGATTTGGCTTGGGTTTCAGTGAAAGGTTAATAAAGCTTTTAAAAATAATTTAATGTTTCAAATAAATTTGGGGCGTTTTTTTTTACAATAAACTTGAAACGGGACACATAATTAACAAACACAGTCTAAGTCAATCGAGCAAGAAATGTTGCCAGTTATTTTATCTCATATTCAAGTCGTCCAGTGTTGCCACCTCGACGCAGTAGTACACTTCGTTGTCTGTGGTGACACATTCTTCGGTTTTAAATTCATCATTTGTGAACTAAAAAAAAAAGAAAAAATTATTTATATATATTTGTTTCTTAGGTTTTCACGCACATCACTCATTAAATAAAACTAGTTTTTACGGGTTAATGCACGAAAACTTTATTTATTTATTGACGTTTCGTAGCCTTTACAGGCTACGTCGTCAGAATAAAACTTTTATTTAATTTTTCGAGCTACCTTCGACGGCTAAATAAAAGTTAAGACAAATTAAATAAAAGTTTTATTCTGACGACGTAGCCTGTAAAGGCTACGAAACGTCAATAAATAAATAAAGTTTTCGTGCATTAACCCGTAAAAACTATTTTTATTTATATATAGGTTAAATATTTATATTGAAGACATTTAGAAGGACCCTTAATTACGATTGGTTACATTTTTTATAGATAATGTAGATATCTAGTACAAAATAGATTATTTTTATTTTATTATAATAAAAGAAAACTAAAAATCCCAATAAAACATTTTTTTTTTCTAATTCTTACCGCTTTCTATTCTTACCAAGGACGACCTCGATAGCGCAGGTGGTTAGCGCGATCGTCTGCGATCGTTGAAGTTAAGCAACTTTCGCAGTGGTCGGTCATTGGATGGGTGACCAAAAATTACTACCTCGAACTCCTCCGTGCTTCGGAAGGCACGTCAAGCCGTTGGTCCCGGCTGCATCTGCAGTCGTTAGCCCACCGATCAACACTGGGCCCGCGTGGTGGGTATTGGCCCAATCTCCCTATTCCATCCATAGAGAAGGCCTGTGCCCCAGCAGTGGGGACATTAATAGGCTGATGATGATGATATAGTAGGATAATATAATATATAGTAGGGTTTGCAACCCTAGCCATGGCCCAATCTCCCTATTTCATCCTGTGGCGGCGACATCTATATGCCCCACATATAGACAACGGATGGAGGAAATCATTACTCACCATCCTCAAGAGATGGCGTTACCTGCACTGCGATCAATAACAGTATGGAAGCCTACATCGCGCAAATGAAATTCGGAAGCTAACTCTTCATATATACGATGCCCGACCAACATCAGTCGGGCCGCGGCCCCCGAGCTAACATCACCCAGCTCGGAGGAAGATCTTCCCCTTTGGCCTTCCTACAATCTAGTGTTGCCGAACTATCGATATGAAAACTATCGACAGTTTACATCGAAAATCATGTACCCTATCGATAGAATCGATACAATCGATAGTATCGAAACTATCGATAGCACAGAACAAGGCAATACTATCGAATGAGTGCAATAGTATCGATACTATTGTAGTTCGTTAATAACAAACTATTGATAGTATCGATACTATCGATACCGTTGATTTTATCTGCAACAATACTATCGATAGTATCGATAGTATTTCACTCATCCAATAGTATTGGCTTGTTCTGTGCTATCGATAGTATCGATAAGCCGATCGATTGTCATACGATTGGTGGCTATCGATAGACTATCGATTAATCCTCGATAGTCGACTATCGATCGGCAACACTGCTACAATCCTTAGGGAAGGCCTGTGCCCCAGCAGTGGGGACATTAATAGACTGATGCTGATGATGAATTCTTACCGTAAGTAGCTGAACTGGGTTTTCATCTTCCTTCATTCCTTTATTAATTTCCTCTTTAGTTTTCCGTTTCTTAGATTTGTAAGGGGCGGGCATTTTTAAATGCACCGTATGCACGTGCAGTTTCATCGAATTGGACTGCGAGAAGGCCTTGCCACATTTGGGGCAAACAAAGGGTTTTTCTCCAGTGTGTACCTGTTTAACCAAATAAATGCGTTATGATTCAATTCAATTCAATTCAATTTATTGCAGTCATGTGGTTACATGGATGGTTACAAGTTACAAAATGCATAAAGTACCTAACATGAACCCTGTCAGGGTATCGCAATATAGATAAAAATTACAAAAGAGAATTTAACAAATAAACAATTATCTATATAATGAAGAACCTAATATTTATTAAACAACTTTTTTTTCTCAAAGCATGCATAAATGTCATCTGATTTCATTAATTTTATAACTTACTCAATTGATTTTATTTATTTCTTAAGCATTTAACTGCTAGATGTTTAAATCTAAAGAAAAGTTTACTAGAAAAAAATCCACGCGGATCAGGCAGCGGACGGGACTCGAACCCGCATCCTTCGCTATCCGGGCGAATGCACTGACCATTATGCTACCACGGCCCTATTAGCCGCGTCGAAATTGTCCTAGCCTTAAGCTGCAAGGCAGCGCCATCTCTTCGCTTCTTCAAAATAAATGCGGTTATACTTGTTCGTTAGCCCGAATAAGAGTGAATTGTATTTTTGTTTTATTTATTTAATCTTTATTGCCGTATATGCAAATAGCGGACTTAATGCCAATATGGCATTCTCTACCAGTCAACCGGAAAGAACGTGCAGAGCGAATATAACGGCAAAGAAAAAAAAAATAGAGAGTAAACATCAAACAATGCTAAAAACAAAATTAAAACATACAACATAATTATATATACACATACAAAAATACATATCCTATATATATCTAATAATATATTACACATAAACAGAAATTCATATGAAAAAGTATTCATTTGACATTGTGGGTTACCCACAATGTGAAGAGATGGCGCTGCCTTGCAGCTTAAGGCTAGGAAAATTTCGACGCGGCTAATAGGGCCGTGGTAGCATAATGGTCAGTGCATTCGCCCGGATAGCGAAGGATGCGGGTTCGAGTCCCGTCCGCTGCCTAGTCCGCGTGGATTTTTTTCTAGTAAACTTTTCTTTAGATTTAAACATCTAGCAGTTAAATGCTTAAAAAATAAATAAAAACATAAAAATTCATATATATATATAGACATATACTTAAGTAAACATTTATCTATTGTATTTATATTTTAATGTATTAAATTAACAATATTAAGTACCCTAGATACAACAACACGACCAAAATCGTGGCCGAAACCTGTCCAAAAGGTACTTTAGACGATCTACGGAGCTTCGTAAGATGATCGCGTAGTCAAAATACAATATAAGGTATTTTTCTAACATTGAAAGGCACCTTTAATGCATACTGTATAAAGGTCTTAATTAAAACGCATGCGGAAATGTAAGCTCGTAAAATTTTACGACTTATTGCCATATGCGGCAGAATATAGACCTTATTTCTTTGACTCTACGTGCAATTTTGAATGCGCTGTTAGCAATATAGCAGGCACGGACCGCGAGGAAAAGAGACGGCTATCTTACCGACCATGCATTTGAATATCATAAATATTTTCTATTACATCAGTTTATAGTAAATATTATAACAATATTTGTTTCAAATTCGTTAAATTGACAAACATTGATTAGGTACCTGTCCAAAAAACGACATTTTACATACAATGAGTATTTTTTTTCGCATTTTTTCACGGAACTGCGGCATCTTGACGACCTCCGTTTGTATGCGTATTATTTCATGGCGTCGCCGACTCGAGAGGTCTCGGGTTCGCATCCCGGTGGGGACACATGTTTGTGTGATGAATACTAGCATTTGTACTCCAGTCATGGATGTTTAATATGTATTTCTGTATAAATATACTTATATTTGTAAAGTATATGTATTCTATCCGTTACCCTAGTATCCCATAACACAAGCCTTATAGTGCTTACTTTGGGGCTAGGCTAATTGGTGTGAGTGTTGGAAATATTTATTTATTTATTTATTTTGACTTTTCAACGGTCCGCGCGTGACTGTGAACCAAGAAGTGCTTGAGTGGAGTTCAAGCACTTCTTGATTGGGACACATTTTGAGCGCTCATGGTGTATTTAGAGTATTTTTTATATCGTTTCATGAAATCCACAAAAATCACTGTAGAAACTTTGTCTAAGATAAATAAACATACAAACTTTTACTGTATTTGTATATGTTATAATGGACTTACCCTTTCATGTCTCAAGAGGGCTGCCTTGTTAGTGAAAGCCTTGGGGCAGTTCTCGCATTGATATGGTTTTTCTCCGGTGTGAATTCGCATATGTATCTGAAGGAAGCAAAAATAGTGATGTTTTTTAATTAATTTATGTTAAGCGCCGGAACATTTAGTGCCTACAATGCGTTTTACACTATTTGTATTTATACTGCATGACACAGCAATCAAAATGCAGGTAAACTAATTAATGTATATTTAATCATTATGTAATGACTGGTGACTTCATGAATCCTCTCTGAAGTCATTTTTGAACTTGAAGATTGTGTAAATAATAAAACTGAGTTTGTTGCCGGTTCTTCTCAGTACAAGATCTCCCGCCGTAGATTTACAAACCGATGAGTAAATGATTTTGATAATAATAAATAAAAATAAAAAAAAAACGTGACGCATTTCCGTTTCATCTATTCCATAGGATTTTTCCATTTACACCCTGTCCAAAAAGAAGTTTAACTACAAAAAAGTTAGTTGTCATCCCAGTTTAGCCCTTACCTGTTGGAATAGTCGCATAGTGAATCTCTTGGGGCAATACATGCAGGGGTAAGGTCGCACCCCGGAATGCACCCTCTGGTGGTACTGAAGTGCTGCGTTAGACTGCAAATAAATATTATTATCAACCAAGTCTTGTATAAGGGAAGAGATCTAATTTTAATTTAACTTAATTTTATTTAGTGTCATTTTATTAAATGTCTATGTATGTGTATGTTTATTTATTTATATATATATATCTTTATATCTTTATATATATAATTCTTCTGTGAGTGTGTATGTCACTGAACTTCTCTTAAATGACTGGACCGATTTTGATGAAATTTTTTGTGTGTGTTCAAGGGGATCTGAGAATGGTTTAGATTCACAATTTTGTCCGCTGGACAACCCCTATTTTTTTAGGGCGGTACGAAGTTCGCTGGGTCAGCTAGTATATATATATATATATATATACATACATATATTTATGCATGTTTATATAATTATTGTGTAATTAAATTAATATATATTATTATAATATTTATGTTTATTGCTTTAAATGTGATTTTCTTCACAACACCCTATGGTTGACTGGTAGAGAATGCCTACGGCATTAAGTCCGCCATTGTACAATTGTGAAAAATCAGCAAATCAGCTAAGCTCTGGCTATCTCTAATAATATACTTAGATCGGTATAGACCCATGATTTGACTTTTCCAAGTACAGTTTGAAAGAGTGGAATACCAAATAAATGAAATTTGATTTGATAATACTAACCGCATATCTCTTGCCGCAGACTTCGCATATGACATTTTTGTAATGGTACACCTGTCTCGACTTTGGAGGCGATTCCACTTCTTTCTTGATCTTACTTTGCCGACTTCGCATACGGAAAGTTGTGTTAATATATTGTTCCCTCGGGACAAACATATACCCGGTGAGGTCAATCTCTTCGGCATCTTGGATGAATTCCTCAATATCCTCTTTTTCTTCTTTTATTTCTGCTTTTATAGCTTCTACTTTAAGGTGAGGCAGATGAGACGACTCCTGATGTTCGAGGCATTCTTCCTCTGTATCAAAGATTTCATCGCACTGCAAGTAAAAAGTCCTTCTTAACAAATTGCCTTAATAACCATTTTTTATATTTTTAATTAAAAGGAACCATACAGTCTTACATATAGTTGCACGTAAAATTCTGATAATAGCCATACCTATAGTCTATTCACTTTGGTGAGAGACAAAATGTAAACAAAGAATCTGAGGTTCTAAAACTTTTATAATGACAGAAAGTCCCTACTAGTCAATGATTAGGTATAATTTATGTAACCTATAATTTATTAACAACTTTAAACTTAACAGTAAAATAATAATAACAACAAACTCAAACAAATAAACACGGAAATAACAAGAATTTAACAAATAAAATAGCATATAGATAAATAAATAATAATGAGCATGCTCATGTCAACAGGTTCATCGGGAGAGTAAAGATGGCTGATGTAAACCAACCGATAACAAAACACAACAATTCAACGTAAAATACTTATATCATGTTTACTATTAAATTTTGTGATATTATAACACTTCTTAAGTTTGGGAATGATTGTGTTGTTAGGTCTTTTACCATGTCAACTTAAGTTGTTAAAATACTTTTATCAGCAAAATAAAAATATACAAAGTTATGATATGTATGTACGTTAAATATGTGTAAAACAAGTTATTTTCTTATCCATATGTATGTTATAGCTCTTAAAATAATTAACTTAATGTTGCACTGCATTTCCTATGTAAACAGTAGTTAATCTTTACTTTTGTCAAACATGACCTTAAAAAGTATCATATTTATGGTTTGTTTACATTTTGTCTCACGCCATTGTGTATAGACTATAGTTCCATATTGACAACCTTCATGGCCGAGTGATTTGTACACTTATCCTTATTTATTTACTTATATAAATATACTTGGGTGCCAATTAATAATCCTCAGTCTTCGCTTTAGACAGAGGATTAGTCTATATTCAAGTGTAGCCTATGTCAACACAAACAGATACTGCACACCATTTGTTTTGCAACAGTTGTTTACAATTGGAACAGAGAAAATGGTCTCTTTTAAGTCAATAAATGCATTTAGAAACCATCCAGTTAAAAGGATATAATTTAATAAATAAATTACATTAAAATAAGTGTCCTATTAAGCTAGTATATAGTGTGAATAACTTTTCAGTTTTCTTCTTTGCACTTTTATAATATTACAAAAAAAAACAATAAAAATATAATGTACAATTCTATTTGTTCCAGGCTCCTTGATAACCAAACAATGAGGTAATGTCAGAATTTATAGAAAGGTTACATTGTTATAAATTGTTGTTTATTAGTTAGTACTTAGCATTATTATTAGCTCAAAACGATAATTTACTACACAGGTTTAGTAAAATATAAAATAAGATAATGTACTGGACATTTGCAAAACTAGGGCCGTATATGTATAATATAGTTATGACTTACTGTCCCACATCTGTACTCGTTGAGAACTAATAATTCCTTGCTTTCTATCAATTGTTGGTGTCTCAAGCGGTCTTTGACCAAATGTTCCCTCAGGGCGTCCTCACTCTCATAGGCCTCGCCACATTCACAGACTATGTAATGATTGCTTACGAACGAACAGTAAAATGTGTTATTTTCGTTCATCGCTATACTAAAAATTGGGCACAGATTCTACATCAAAGACGAAGATAACGAACAATATTATTTTTCTATGGAGCCTCGACTATCACAGATGCAAGCAGATCAAGCGAAGGACAGATGATAGTCAGCCATTTTGTATCTATCTGTGCGTCGGACAGTTTACAATGTCATTGAGCGCTGTTCCTATTTCCTGTTTATTATCGATATCTTGGTAATCGCGTCAAGTTTTTAGAACAAAACTAACTTATCGAGTTGTAGAAAAGCGTAGTGGAAAATAAAATTAGTAATAAAGAGCGCTAAATTGTTTAATGTTTGGTATTTACCCGGTATATAGGTAAATTTTACAGGAGTACCGCGATCGAGCCAGTACATTTAAAAACTCTTTGATTTTATATTTTATGTTGGCTGCACCGTGTAGAATTACTTCAGAAATATTGACAAGTGATTGAAGCAGTTTTTGATTGACATAGAAATATTGACATAAGCTAAATAAATGCCCTGCTGGGTTTGTTTATTGCTTTGCTTTGCAAAAATGCTGAAATGAATAATGGCAGATATATTAGCTTGTCGTATTTGTTTAAATACTAATGTGAAATTATATGACATATACAAATATCGACTGGTTTCTGCATACGAGAATCTAACTGGATCTAAGGTTAATAGAATGTTTTTCCGTCCTATTGTTTCAGTTTCTTTTACAATACCTTTGAATGCTTTGTTTAGAATTATGAAATCATTTTGATGAGTTAAAATAGAAAGTTTTAGTTACCTACTTCACTAGAGTATAAATAAGGTCTATTGGGTTTAAGAACTTCCCTGTTATTGAGTAATCTAAATGGCGCGATTATTCTTGGTCGTTAGCCCGAATACGAGTGTCAATGGAATTCGGTTAAACGACTAAGTGTAAATAAACAGTGTCGAGTACGCCCGTACACCCGGTAGATTTCGTTTTGGTTACCTGTCACAGTCTTCCAGCCTGTATTCCAGTGTAAATGTGGCTTTAGGTGCGCGAATTCGATTAATGTTTTTCGTGCGCCCGAATACGAGTTCACAACCAATTGTTTTTGTTTTTTATAGCGAGGTAGGCAAATGACTACCCCACCTGATGTTAAGTGGTGATAAAGTCCAAACGCGAAGATAGCCAGTACAGCAGTTATAAACTGCCACACCAACCATCCTCACCTTGCCGGCCTGCAAAAATACTTCTTCACGCCTCTCTTAAAGGACCCCAGATTGTAGGAAGGAGGGAACTTGTGCGTGGCAAAGAATTGCAGCATAAGGTTTTATTTTGAGTTTAAGAATCTTATATATCCTTTCTGTCCAGGTGCTGCCTATAGATGGATGTCCAAAGTACACCTGTAATGTATGTAGCACATTTCTTTTAAAATGCCTATCATTCAAAAGCCTGTGTCAGAGGAGCCAAGACTTACTGAAGTATGCGTACAGGCAAAATCATCAGGTAATCTGCTTGTTTATTTACTTGGTATTTGTAATGAACGGTCGTTGTTGATGAAAACCTGGACTGAAACTGATGCTGTCACTTTCCTTTGCTAAAAGACACAGACAATACAGTAGACCCGCAGTAATCTGACAAATGTTTTGCAGGGCGATGTTGGATTATCGAATTTATCGGATAACAGAGTACTGTCTAAGCCGACTCTATAGTCTCTATAGTCCAGATTTTTTTGGAATAAGAGTATTTTGTAATCCGACAAATTACAAATTTAAAAATGTATTTCAATTTATTTTAAGGTGTAAATCAATAGTGATTAGCATGTCGGATTACAGGGGGCGCCGGATTAGACTGGGCCGGATTACCGCGGGTCTACTGTATTAGGTTTAATCCAAGACTAACTTTAGTCTGTGTCTTAAAATTACAATTTTAATAGCTGCTTGATAACTTCAAAGTAATACAAACTTTCTATTACAGATTACAACAGAATACATAACAAGTTTGGATCTCAACATGCATATATTATCAAAATATAGCATAAGTAGAAACAAAAATATATCGTTACCTTGTGACCAAAGCATTAAGATTAAAGATGAAGTCTCGAATTATGATGATGGAGATTCAGGTGATGACACAGACAATTTCAGAACAGACGAAGATACACACACTAATATAGGTGAATCAAAAAAGGAAGTAAAATCTGAGCTTTCGTCAAGCGACGAAGAGCCTCTGTCCAGCAAAAAAGCTAAAAAGAAAAAGGTTAAAGTGAAAAAGACCGTTGTTAAAAGTAAGAAACAAGTTACAGCAAAACACAATGGCAATCAAGATAACTTGGACAATGGGAATCAAGATAACGATCCAGTGTCAGAGGGAGAAGTAAACAATGCCGTTGATTCTTTGGATAGCGATGAAGTAGAAGTGACAATACTAACTAAAGAGCAGCAGCTGGCAGAGGTTAAAGCCAGAATGTCTTCAATGAATTATCGTCATTCTTTTTATAAATGTGACATGTGTTATAAAGGGTTTATGTCGGCTGCTACGTTCAATAATCATATGATAAGACATGAGCTGGTGAGTATTTTTTACTGATATTATAAAGCATAGAGATTTGCATTTTTGTATGTTTGTAAATAATATAATCATATACCTATCATGATTATATTTTTTATAAAATACTAGTCGATATTATATCACAATAATGAAATCTATATATATAAAACTCAAAGGTGACTGACTGACATAGTGATCTATCAACGCACAGCCCAAACCACTGGACGGATCGGGCGGAAATTTGGCATGCACGTAGATGTTATGATGCAGGCATCCGCTAAGAAAGGATTTTGATCAATTCTACTCCCAAGGGGATAAAATAGGGAATGACAGTTTGTATGAAACTTTGACAATTTTAAACTAATCGGGCTGAGACTTTGCATGCAGGTATAAGAAGAATCATAGACGAATGTCATTGTGTATAATACAAGCCTGTTTTTTTTATTATTTTGTCTGGAAAATGCTTTATGCATCTTTCAACCACTGGGGGAGCGAGAGGAAGGTATGTGGGACTCCTCCCTGCTCATTCCATCCAGCCCTCGGCCTCAATGAAATGTGCAGGGCACTACCTACGCCCTGAACAGGGCCACTAAAAACCAGACAATACCTCTGCACCGGTCACCCGGTATAATACAAGCCTGAGAACAAAAACTGTAGTCTACACTTCAACTCTTCACCGAAGCGAAGCGAGGGCGGTTCGCTAGTTTATAAATATATTGGATGATATTTTATAATTGAGTTATTGTGATAATGCATCCTACTTCGATTGCGTTGTTTTAATCGGAGCAGTGTGATGTGGTGTCATAGCTGTTTTAATATATTATTGACTAAAAACATAATGGCTGGCTGTTGTCTTCTTGGACAATTCTGCCAATGTCAGGGTGGAGTATTACAGATGATCAGTTTTTCTTGCAGTTTTATGCATCTTCCACTATTGGCCGGTTGACTCACACCAATTAGCCTAGCCCCATAGTAAGCACTGTAGGCTTGTATTATGGGATACTAGGGTAACGGATAGAATACATATAGGTACTGATACGTATATACCTATATTTATACAGAAATACATATTAAACATCCATGACTGGAGTACAAATGCTCGTATTCATCACACAAATTTCTGCCCCCACCGAGATTCGAACCCAGGACCTCTCGAGCAGGCGACACCTTGAAATCCGGCGTACAAACCACTCGGCCACGGAGGTCGTCGAATAATTTCGACCGCTAATGACGTGCCTATGGGATCAAAAACGTGTGCAAACATATCGACTGTAATCTCATTTTAACAATTATACCCATCATCATCAGCCTATTAATGTCCCCACTGCTGGGGCACCGAATGAATGGAATAAGAAGAATATGAAGATTGGGCTACCACGCGGGCCTAGTGCGGATTGTTGGATGCTAACGACTGCAGATGCAGCCGAGACCAACGGCTTAACGTGCCTTCCCAAGCACGGAGGAACTCGATATAGAAGTTTTTGCTCACCCATCCAATGACCGACCACTGCGAAAGTTGCTTAACTTCAACGATCGCAGCCGAACGCCCTAACCACCTGCGCCACCAAGCTCCTCAACCCATCATAAGATCGTTATTGAACAATGCCTGTGCGATGCGATACCACGAGCTGCAATTAGGACACTTCTAAAAAAAATGGATGCGTGTAACTTATGTACGCGCGTGAGAAGTTATACTTCTTTAGCATCATTAAAAATATTTTTTAATTGCATGCAAATAATTAATAATTACAATAAAATAATAAAAGAGGCGACGAGCGTGCCAACATTGTTTTTGACAACGCGATCATCTTATGGAGCTCCGTGGATCGTTCAAAGTACCTTTCGAACAGATGTCTAATAATGGTGGATTATTAACCACTAAGTGGTTACCATGAAGTGTATTAGTAACCATGTATTGTATAGTAGTAGTGTATTAGTAACCATGAAGTGGCCGCCCGCGGCCAACTTCATGGTGTTACTATTGTGTTACAGTGATGCGCGCGCATCTCGAAATTTCACTCACATGATTTTTTCATAACGCGCCCGCGGCCAACTTCATGCTGTTACTTTTGGGTTACAGCGATGCGCGCGCATCTAAAAATTTCATTCTCATCATTTTTTCATAACGCGCCTAAAGAAGTATAACTTCAAAAATCTGTATATTTGAAATCATTGCATGACGAGAACGCGTTGTGCCCATAAAGGTATAAGAATAGGTTGGGGAAGGCGGCTCTAAAAGTGTCCGTCTAGTAGAAAGAGAAAGAAGATGAGATACCGATAGCTATCTCTCTCCCTTGTAACGCCATGGCATCCAATGGCATCACATCGAAATAGTAAGATGCTTACGGTTGCCAATGCGCATGCGCGATTAGAGAGAGAAAGCTAGCGGTCTCTCATCTTCTTTCTCCTTCTATTAGAGGGACACTACCACTTGTAGTAGAGTCTATATCTCCCCTACTCCATTCTTATACCTCTATGGTTGTGTCATCGTACGATCGTTGGCCATTAGGCCGACGACTGGAACATATTTTTCATTAAGTGTGAGATGAAGTGAATGAATGAATGAATGAATGAATGAAAATGTATTGTTCTAAACTTTCATGGTCACTAACATTATAGTAATATAAGTTATTTACGGAATTGTTACCATGTACCTTGTTTTTAGCGAGTTTCCGATATTTCGGCACTGTTGCAAGCGCCATGATCACGGAGTAACTGAAGTAATTGCGGGTAGGCTGTTATTGGCAGACATATCGGTCTACCCTCCGACGAAGTCTTTTATTGCGTTCGATACCCACATTCTCACTATTCACTCGAAACTGTTCTCGACACACAGCACTTACAGTATCGGATCGCGACACGACACTTTTTTGATTATTTCCGGTTTTACACATACGAACCACAGGAATCCAGATACTCGACAATTTAAACCCGTCCTCACGATTGAAATTTATGTTTTGTTATTTCAATCGCTTCCCTGACCAATCTTGGTAAGTATTGGCGTTCTGTCGAGATAAACTGTGGGTTATGAAACTCAATCCAGTGGTTAGGACCAGAATCAATCAAATGTTCTGCGATGGCTGATTTCTGCGTATCGTGCCGAAATATCGGAAACTCGCTAAAAACAAGGTACATGGTAACAATCCCGTAAATAACTTATATTACTATAAGAGGAGCTCGATGGCGCAGGTAGTTAGCGCGTTCGGCTGCGATCGTTGAAGTTAAGCAACTTTCGCAGTGGTCTGTCATTGGATGGGTGACCAAAAATCTTCTATCTCGAGTTCCTCCGTGCTTCGGAAGGCACGTCAAGCCGTTGGTCCCGGCTGCACCTACAGTCGTTAGCACCCGTCAATCCGTATTGAGCCCGCGTGGTGGGTCATGGCCCAATCTCCCTATTCCATCCATAGGGAAGGCCTGTGCCCCAGCAGTGGGGACATTAATAGGCTGTTAATGACTATAATAAATGAAAAAAATAATTCAAAAAATTGTCCAGTCGGCCGGTAGTCACGTGTGCGAGATCTGCCAAACAAGATGGCCGAACGTGCGATCGTTACGTACGCACGTGGTCACTTCGCACGAAAGGAAGTTCGTCTGCAAACTATGCGCGCACGTTTCGAAATCCAGGTGAGATTCTATCTAATAGCACATTACTAAAACGCCGTGCAGTAATAGACAACTTAGGCCACCAGTATCGTATACTATTTTATAGCAAGTGTGACATAAACCCGCCCCGGACGCGGGCAAGAGAGGGGGGGGGGGGGGGGGTTGCGATTAGTGTTTTGAAAGTAAAATTCATGTATTGCAATCACAAAGAATTGCAATACAGACTGCAAGTCAAACTCTGAAAAGAAAGAATTCCGGTTCAGATTACCATTTTGAAAGTATATTTCAAAAGGAAAAAATCAAATATCATTACAACAAAATAACCTAACCTATCGCTAATTTGTCATTTGTTTGCTGTGAGTTTTTAAGCTCCAGATGACATTTAAATGTGTTTTTTCTTTTATTTTTTCTACATGGTTGGTCAATTCATTTACACACCGTGCAGAAATAGGCAACTTAGGTCACGGAAAAGCGTGCGTAAAGTGCGGGTTTAGGTCACACTGTGCTATAAATTAACTTAGATTAAAACAAAAAGGCTAGGCTATCACGGCTTCAAAGTGTACCGCTTAAATTGTGGTGCATGAACACAATTTGCTTCAGTCACAATTTGACATCCAAACACGCTACATGTGCTATCAACATATACGTAACATATTGCGTATATTCTGTGTTTTAAAGATGAAACAATGTATTCGATGCTTTTAAAAAGAACACAAGTAGTTCAAGATCAAAAAACTAATTCCATGGCAACGCTTTTCATTCGTAAATCTATAAAAAAAATACTCTAAAATCAAGAATTTTTGTCATGAATGTTATTTACTGATTCGCCATTTGTTATCAAGAAAAGGACAACAATACAGTCCAGCCGTTTGTAGAGAGAGAAAAGAAAACGCAATCGGTTGCCAAGCGACGCGAACTCGCCGTTTCGCTAGCGTTGCGTTGAAGCGTACAGTTCTATTTCGCTCGCTCGATTGAACGTTTATTTACAAAAGTGTGCGTGTGTGAGAGTTACTTATGTAGTTCAGTCGGAGCCAGCGTTGCCAGTTTTTTTTTTACCAAGACGGGATTTAGGAACTTTTTGAGTAAAAAAAACGGGATTCTTTCGTCGAAAGCTTGACATAGAAAAAAAAACATATATACAGACAGTCCTCGACTTACGTCGTTTTAAGTTACGTCGAACAATGCTTTGACACTACTCCTCAAGCATATATCAATTGTTTCGATTTCCGGCGTAGGAGAATTCACTTGTCGGGAGGTCAATGTCCGTGCGGCCGGCGTTCGTGGGGATGTCTTGACTTACGTCGTTTTAAGTTACGTCGAACAATGTTTTGACACTACTCCTCAAGCATACGTCAATTGTTTCGATTTCCGGCGTAGGAGAATTCACTTGTCGGGAGGTCAATGTCCGTGCGGCCGGCGTCCGTGGGGATGTCTCGACTTACGTCGTTTCGATTTACGTCTTTTTAAGTTACGTCGAGCAATGTTTTTACACTACTCCTCAAGCATACGTCAATTGTTTCGATTGCGTAGGAGAATTCACTTGTCGGGAGGTCAATGTCCGTGCGGCCGGCGTCCGTGGGGATGTCTCGACTTACGTCGTTTCGATTTACGTCTTTTTAAGTTACGTCGTACAATGTTTTGACACTACTCCTCAAGCATACGTTAATTATTTCGGAGGAGGAGAATTCACTTGTCGGGAGGTCAATGTCCTTGCGGCCGGCGTCCGTGGGGATGTCTCGACTTACGTCGTTTCGATTTACGTCGTGTATTTCGTTTCGTAGGAGGACGGCCTGTAATCAAAAGTAATTAAATATTTATCTCCGTTACGCGCCGGGCAGGCGGCCATTCCACACTTGTCTGTGCCACCTGCCCGCGCTTTCTCAGTACGCTGCACGCGCGGTCGAGTTATTCCCGAAAATTGAAAAATTCCCACGGGATATTAAATTTTGATTTAAAAATCGGGACGTCTAGCAACGCTGGTCGGAGCATATTTTATTTAATGCTAGTGGTAGCTTTCCAATTACAGCATTAGCGCATTATGCGGCACAATGCTTAACGTTGAGTGTTCCAACTACAGCAACGCTTCGCACAATGAGGGCTACCGTTTTTTGTCTCACCAGATGGCGCCACTGTTGAGTGAGGTCCTGAATTGTAACTTTTATGTTTATTAATACGCGCGTGAAATCAAAGTATACATTTAAATCATATTTTAATACAAAAGAACCGTATTCTAAATATAATTGGCCATACCACAGTGTTGCGCAGCTCCGTTTTGTACTGCAAAAAGGAGGACATAATTATTTTTCTTAGCTCCGCTTTTAAATAACTGACATTCAATGCCACGTAACTCATATTTGCTATAATTAAGCCGAGTTATTACTAAATATTCACAACATTATTTTAATTAGAAATAAACCCGCGTAGTCAACCCACAAGCAATAACATTTGACATTTCGGAGATCTCACGCTACACAAGCGCCTCTAGCGGCGGATTCATACGCGATAGCCCTCATTGAGCACTCTAAAAAGTAATGCTTTCGTGTGATGCGTGCAATCGTACCAACCCAGTGACAGAAAATTAACAAGTGTTTTTTCTTTAAGTTGGCATTGATCGAAATATTTTATTTATATGTTATCGTAAGTAATATTATTTATTGTTGAAAAATTATTAAAGCTTTCGTTTCATTAAATGTTTTTTTTTAAACAATCAAAGTTAATTCAAACTGTTAAAAAAATAAATATAAGTATGGATGAAGGTACAAACATTGACTTTTTTTTCAACACTGAACTTAGCGCACTCTGCTGGTGCATTTGAAAACTAATTCACGTTCCAATTAAGCATCAGCATAATTCGGCATTGTGCGGCACTGAGTCGCATTATGCTCTGTAATTGGAAAGCAACCAGTATGAGCGTACTGTACCTTCCATTTTTATTACAAGCTTTTATTTAACTTGCTATGTATGTTTGTTACGGTCAAATCTTACAACTCAATTTTAAAGCACTTGCCCTCAACCGATTAAGCTGAAATTGGGTATGCTCGTTCAGTTCGGATGACAATGCATGATTAACAGTGTGACGTCATTCTAAATCCAATATGGCGGCATACCCAAAATGGCGGACCAATCATTTTTAATGCATTCCTACAATATGGGTATCAAATTAAAGGGCTTGCTGAGAGTAACTCGAAAAAAATGTGACGTCACTCTCAATCCAATATGGCGGACTTCTAAAATTTGAAAATCTATTTAGAAACAGATATCTTTAACTAATTTAGTTGAAATTTTCTTTTTTTCTTTTTAGCGCATTTGAATAAAAGCTTGTTTTTAAAAAGGTTTTTTTTACCTTAATTTTAATCTAAGTATCATCATCATCAACCCATGCCCGTCCACTGTTGGACATAGTTCTCCCCCAATGCACGCCCCTGCTCCCGATTTTCGGCCACTCTCATCCAGCTTATAATGTAATCTCTTATCTATTAGACAAGTCCGTCCGTCTGTCTGTGGTGCTGTTTCAGCGGCCAAACCGTAAGAGATAGATAAAGAGAATATTCAAGTTATAAGTTAAGAATAGTCTGGTGAGACTACAAACCGGATTTGAGTAACGTAGCACTTCCGGTTTTCGAGAAATCACGAATTTGAAAGGAAACCACACAAAATCTCCGAAGTTCTCAATTAATTAAATACATTTTTTTATTTTTTTTTTAAATCAGGTTTTGGTGAACATTTGGTTCACTGGTTTGCTAGTCTAAGTATATTAACTGAGGAGCTCGATAGCGCAAGTGGTTAGCGCGATCGGCTGCGATCGTTGAAGTTAAGCAACTTTCGCAGTGGTCGGTCATTGGATGGGTGACCAAACATTTTACTATCTCGAGCCCCTCCGTGCTTCGGGAGGCACGTTAAGCCGTTGGTCCCGGCTGCATCCCCACTGGGCCCGCGTGGTGGGTCATGACCCAATCTCCCTATTCCATCCACAGTGAAGGCCTGGGGACATTAATAGGCTGATGATGATGATGATGATATTAACTAATAATATAAATATTTGTTTGTTAAGAAAATTTTTATTTTAAATATGTGATACTTAGTTTTGCAGTGTTTTATTGACTCCTAAAGTCCTGAATCCCTGTGCTTTCTATGGTATCTCTAGATCTTTTAATACTGTTTCGTTCTTTGATTAAAGTATAAATTATGTTTGTAAGTGTGTTTGTTTCAGACATAAAGCTAAGGAGCATTTCAAATGGCACAGCGGTCACAAGTTTGTTTGCAACATTTGCGGCGCCTCGTTCGAGTGAGTGTATAATCTATTTTATTTTCTACATCGATCAACAAACCATGGAGGTAAGCGTGAACATCAATAAAAATAAATAGAATTGAGAACCTGCTCCTATTTAAAGTTGGTTAAAAAGGCTCTAGATTTTCTTTCTCGAATTTTTAGAGGTGTCTAGATTATTTTCCGAAAAAAAAAACATTCATACCAACCTTGTCCTGCAATAAGGGGCCGTCCATATATTACGTCATTCTAAATTAGGGGGGGGGGGGGAGTTGGTCTGCGGATGACGGTAAATGATAGATAGGGGGGGGGGGTTCGAAATTGACGTCATTCTTATTTATTTATTTATACTTTATTGTTCACGTAAAAAAAATTATTTCTAAATAGAAATTTCTTCCAGCACACCTAGTAAGTGAGACTGCAAATGTGAGAGGCGGCTAAGGCACGTACAATACTAAAATACCTCATAATAAACGTACATAATGCAACATAGATGTACACAAATACAGTAATAACTGCAGATAAAATACTCTAACAATGATATTACATATAATACTAGCTTTTCTCAAATCTGCAATGTTTTAATTTTGTCAAACTGGCAATGACGTCAATTTTGGGAGAAGGGGGGGGGGGGGTCATTAAGAAATGACGATAGGATGATTGTAGGGGGGGGGTCTAAAATCTGAAAAAATCGATGACGATAGGCTAGTTGACTCATGTCGAATTGTATTAAATAAATGTTTATTTCTTAAAGTATTTGTTCTAAGGAACCTAAATATATCGATTTCACTTCATAAAAGCATAAGATTGCTGTAGAAATTAAATATTATTCAATGAGTATTTACATCAAAGTGATCTTCGCAAAAATAAATTTTACTATGAGTCGTTAAAGTTGCAGGATCACTTTTAGCAAGTTCTAACCAGATATTGCGTAGGTTAAGTTCTTTCGGCACTTTAATCCACAACTTTCCTGGAGTCTTCAAAGATTTTTTTTTACATTCTCGTACAATACAATAATAATAATTACTATATTTTTCGTGGTATCTATTAGAAATCATGTTTTCTTTTTATTATAAACTCAGATGGGTTATTTTCTACGTGCTTACGAGTTTTTGTTTACTACTGTCAACGTCATAGCATAGATAATCTATAGACTAAAATGGCCGGCAGCGTTTTTGTATGTCCATGAAAAGTCTATTTTAAAATTAAAGATTTGTAGCTTTCTAGGTCTCAAAAAAATACAATACATTTTTTTCGGTCTAATAGAACATTTATTAACCATTTAAAACCTTTTTCCAAAAAGGGTCAACTAGCCTATTTATGGATGGCCCCTAAGGAATACTTAAAACAAACCTAATCATCAAATTCGGTGCATTCTTTCATAAGTTACATTACATATTTCGTCGATATTTTTATTTATTTGGTGACTCATTTCTTTGTCGTACTATCCGTAAATGGAATGCTCTGCCCGCTCACGTGTTCCCTCCCTCTTACAACCTGGGATCTTTTAAAAGAGGCGTGAAGAAGCAACTTGCAGGCCGGCAGGGTGAGGATGGCTGGTGTGGCAGGTAGAACTGCTGTATCAGCTATCTTCGCGTCTGGACTTCACCTCCACTTAACATCAGGTGGGGTGGAGTCATTTGTAGGAACTATCTATAAAAAAAAAATTAGTTACAGTAGATAAAGAAGACTTGCCAAAAAATATTATTGCGAAGATTTGAACCTGAAGACAGGTTCTGCTTAAAATGTTCTAAACCATTCAAAAGACCTGCATAGAAATTTATTCATTCCATTCATTCTATTTAATCCATTTATTTAATTAGTTCCATTCCATCATTACCATTCGTTCAATAATAATTCAGAAGTAATTATTATATGTCAATATCTTCTGCTGTGAAAGTCTGCAATCTTTTGTGAAATGAACACAAATGTTTTTAATTTCTTATATTTTCATGCACATCACTTATTAAATAAAACAGTTTTTATCATTCGTTCAATAATAATTCATAAGTAATTATTATATGTCAATATCTTCTGCTGTAAAAGTCTGCAATCTTTTGTGAAATGAACACAAATGTTTTTAATTTCTTATATTTTCACGCACATCACTTATTAAATAAAACAGTTTTCAAGGGGTTTAAGATGCGTTTTTTAATACTGGTGTCGATTCTAGCATGATTCTCTAAACCTAAACCTTAATTTGACAGCAGTATATCCTTGTCATTTTCTATACAGAATGAAAAGGAGAGACTGATGTTAAATTTAGTTTTAAGTTTAGAGAATTACGCCAGAATTGGCACCAATATCATACATATCTCTTCGTTTCGCGTCCTTTACAGGCTGCTGCTTGAGGAGCTCGATGGCGCAGGTCATTAACGCGTTCGGCTGCGATCGTTGAAGTTAAGCAACTTTCGCAGTGGTCGGTTTTTAGATGGGTCTCTCGAGATCCTCCGTGCTTCGGAAGGCACGTTAAGCCGTTGGTCCCGGCTGCATCTGCAGTCGTTAGCATCTACCAATGCGCACTGGGCCCGCGTGGGTCATGGCCCAATCTCCCTATTCCATCCATAAGGAAGGCCTGTGCTCCAGCAGTGGGGACATTAATAGGCTGGTGATTATGATGACAGGCTGCGTTCTCAAGATTACTTCAAATATTTTTGTTCATGTATCATGTTTGTTTCTATCTTTGTTTTTATTTTTGACGACCTCCGTGGCCGAGTGGTTTGTACGCCGGGTTTCATGGTGTCGCTGACTCGAGAGGTCCCGGGTTCGAATCCCTGTGGGGGCAGATGTTTGTGTGATGAACACTAGCATTTGTACTCCAGTCATGGATGTTTAATATGTATTTCTATATAAATATAATTATATATGTAAAGTATAATATGTATTCTATCCGTTACCCTAGTATCCCATAACACAAGCCTTATAGTGCTTACTTTGGGGCTAGGCTAATTGGTGTGAGTGTTGGAAATATTTATTTATTTATCTCTTTTATCATCATCATCATCAGCATCATCAGGCGATGGACGACCTCGTCCAACTCTTTAACAATGTATATTACAAAAGTTATTTAGCTCAGGTTTGTTTAGGAATAAAAATTCTTGTTGATTGAATAAATAAATATTTCCAACACTCACACCAATTAGCCTAGCCCCAAAGTAAGCACTATAAGGCTTGTGTTATGGTTTTTTTTATGTATGATCATGCATAACTTTTGACAGAGTAGTCCAATTTTGATAATTCTTTTTTATTGAATAGGGTATTATACCCCTGATGCCCCTGAAGTTGGGCTAAAAATCCAACCCTACCCCATTGCCCCCCCCCCCCCCCCTTAGTCATAAGCTGGCGACGCCCTTGGCGGAGGGTGCGGGTTCGAGTCCCGTCTGCTGCGTGGATTTTGTCTAGCAATAAAAAAAACTTTATTTTTATAGAAAATCTACAAGTCACCTAACGCATGTAAGAATACAGCATCCGTCTAAACACAGCTGCGAAATTTGTGGCGAATCTTTTATAGGCGAGAATGGACTCAACATGCACAGGAAGAAGGCTCATAGAAGCGTGGAGGTAAGATAAACTGTGAAATTTCATTATAAATAAATAAATATGTATTTCCAACACTCACACCAATAGGGTATTTGACAAGTTTTAGAAAACGATCTCACGTTATTGACTAATGTTTATGGAGTCCATAAAAAGTGGATATTCATCATTCTGTTGTGTATTTCAGTAAAAATAAACAAATCAAAAACTCCATTTTCAAGTTGCCGCGAAAACGTTTCTCTGGACAATATGGCGTCTTACTAGTGTGTGACGTCACACGACTGTTATTAAAACGTCAAACGATACAATGTAATGTCACTTTAACCGGAAGTTTACTTGCGTGTGACGTCATTTTAGGCTCAATCAATCCCGAGCGTTTTGGGTCGCGTGACAATAGATAAGAAAACTATTATTTTTTCCGTGGGTTTTTAGTAAAATTATGAATATTTTTATTGTAAAAATAGTAAAAACCCCTGCCAATATTCATTCTAAACACAGATGCTAACAATTGGCACTTTATTTTTAATACTGTCAAATAACCTATTTAGTACATTTACATAAAAATTATGCATTTTTATATTAATATATCTATATTTAGTAGGATTATCATCATCATCCTACATCAGCCTCTCAATGTCCCCACTGCTGGGGCACAGGCCTTCCCTATGGATGGAACAGGGAGATTGGGCCATGACCCACCACGCGGGCCCAGTGCGGATTGGCGGGTGTTAACGACTGCAGATGCAGCTGGGACCAACGGCTTAACGTGCCTTCCGAAGCACGGAGGAACTCGAGATAGAAATTTTTTTTTTTTTTTTTTTTTTTTTTTTTTTTTTTTTTATAGTTAGGTCCGACAAATGACTCCACCCCACCTGATGTTAAGTGAAGGTGAAGTCCAGACGCGAAGATAGCTGATACAGCAGTTCTACCTGCCACACCAGCCATCCTCACCCTGCCGGCCTGCATGCTGCTTCTTCACGCCTCTTTTAAAGGATCCCAGGTTGTAAGAGGGAGGGAACACGTGAGCGGGCAGAGCATTCCATTTACGGATAGTGCGACAAAGAAATGAGTCACCAAATTTCTTTGTACGCGTTGGAATTGTGGCCACAGTAAAACGGTGACAACGTAGGCCAGCGCGCGTGGTCCTCTGAAGGAAAGGGGAAGGTGGGATAAGAGAGAATAACTCCTCAGAACACTCGCCGTGGTACAAACGATAGAACGCGCTTAGTGACGCCACGTCACGGCGTAATTGAAGAGGCTCAAGGTGTTTAGTCACCTCCTCATCGCCTATGATGCGGATCGCGCGCCGCTGTAACCTATCCAAAGCATCGAGCAAGTACTTGGCGGAGCCATCCCAGAGGTGCGAGCAATATTCCACGCAGGACCGCACTTGCGTTTTGTACAACAAGCACAGTTGATCGGGCGTGAAAAAACGCCGCACCTTGTTCAGGACTCCGAGTTTGCGTGAAGCTGTTTTGATCACGGTTTCGATGTAGTCCTTTGGATTCAGGTCTGAGCGAACTTCCATACCGAGCATGGAAATGTTGCTCTGCAGCGGTAGTGTTGTGCCCTGAAGAGATGGAAGGGGAAGGAATGGCGATGTTTTTGCCGTGAAAGCGCAAGCCTGAGTTTTCTTGGCATTGAACCCAACCAAGTTCCTGGTACCCCATTCGGAAATGTGTTCCAAAGCCTGATTGAGTTCAATGACAAGATTTTCCCGTTTCTCCCTGGTTACTGCATGCCCAGCCGCTGCTTGTCCGAGATACCCCGCATGCACTGTACTATCGTCTGCATAGCAATGAATATTCCCAAGAGGAATCAGGTCATTGATATGCAGCAGAAAGAGAGTGGGGGATAGGACGGAGCCCTGGGGAACGCCGGCATTCACTGACATGAACCGCGAACTGCTACCATCCGTAAGGACACGAATTCTACGCTCATGCAGGAAGTCAGCTACCCAAGAACAGAACTGGGCTGGCAGACCGTATGCCGGAAGCTTGGAGAGAAGGCTTTTGTGCCAGACCCTGTCGAACGCCTTGGCAATGTCAAGGCTGATAGCCAACGACTCGCCACGCTTGTCGATAGCCTCACCCCAGATATGAGTTAAGTACGCTAGAAGATCACCCGTCGATCGTTTCGGTCTAAATCCATATTGACGATCATTAATCAGGGAGTGATCCTCTAGGTAGCGGGTCAGATGGTTATTAAGGACCTTTTCTAGAACTTTACATAAAACTGAGGTGACTGCTATTGGCCGATAGTTTGCCGGGTCCGAGCGATCCCCTTTTTTGGGTACCGGTTGCACGTTAGCATCTCTCCAAGTCTCCGGCACACGCCCCAAAGAATACGAGCATTGGTACAAGCGCGTGAGCACGGGACACAACTCCGCTGCACATTTTTTAAGTACTACTGCTGGGATGCCATCAGGTCCACTAGCTTTCCGGACGTCGAGTGATTGCAACTCGGCACGAACCTCACGCTGCCTGATTTTAATATCAGGCATCGTTGTGCCACAGTGAGGTAATGATGGTGGCAGTGCATTGCAATCATCGATTCGGGAGTTAGCCGCAAAGAGTTTTGCCAGTAAATCGGCTTTCTCCTGCGGCTTATGAGCTAGTGTTCCGTCTGGGCATCTCAGAGGTGGCAGCGAGGGCTGGCAGAAGTTTTTTTGCACGGCCTTAGCCAAACGCCAGTAGCTACGGGAGCCCGCAGGATGCGTTATAAGTTCCTGGCCAACACGTGCAACACGCTGGGCATCCGCTCTGATGTAAGCCTTCTTACAGGCCTTGGAAGCAGAATTGTAGGCTGCTTTGAGTGAATCGACCCCGGGATCCTTGAGAGCGCGGCCTCTGATCCAAGCACGATATGCCGCTTGCTTACGCGAAGCAGCTTCAGCACAGTCGTGATTGAACCAGAGGTTACGTGTGCCCTTACTGATGAGATCAGAATGAGGAATATAGTATTCCATACCCATTATGATCTCCTCAGTAATGGCAACGGCACTGCCCGATAGGTCCCTGTCACTGAAGCAGCGCTGCTTCCAAGGGACGGACGCAAAGTAATCACGCATACCGTCCCAATCTGCCGACCCATAATGCCAGATTCGGCGCTTGACCACTGCTGGACGCGGAGGCTTGGCCTGTGGTGCTTTGGCGGATATCAGGCAGTGGTCGGACGAGCCCAGGGGGGCTCTTACCACAACCTGATAGCCCTGTGGATGGGTCGTGAGCAGAAGGTCCAGTAAAGAAGGCGCTTGACTTGGAATATCTGGGATCCTGGTGGGCTGATCAACCAGTTGCTTCAAGTCATGCGTGAGAGCGAATGTGTGAGCAGAGATCCCTGCATGGTCAGTTTTGGAAGAACTTAACCACAAATTGTGGTGAGCATTAAAGTCCCCCAAAAACACCAATTCTGCATTGGGAAATCGCTCCTGCGCGTCATCTGCTGCCCGACTAAGGTGTTCAAAAAGTCGAGTTGTCTCAACATCGCCGGTGTGGGATCTGTAGAGGCACACGTAGACTCTGGCCCGGGGGCCAGAGTCGACGTGTACCCCCAGCATGGAGAAGGAGGGATCTTCCAAGCAGCGGAGACGGCGACAACAAACATCCGCCCGAACATACAGGCATACACCGGCTTTCGCTTTGAAGGACTCTTCAAGCACGTAGCCGGGATAATTAAGGTAGCCTGTGTCAGCAGGTGGAAGTATTTGTGTCTCCGTCAGGAACAACAATGCTGGCCGTGCTGTCTCGAGATGGTGGTGGACAGCGTTGAGGTTAGAGTGGAGTCCGCGTATGTTGCAGAACTCGACCTCAAACAGCGTTGAAGGCGTGGGGGTGTGCACCGCTGTACGTCCAAACTTTGTTTTTGAGGCTGCCATGGTGGAAGTGAAAAAAAAAGAGACGCGAAAACGAGCGGACGCCGTCGCGAAGAGTCCGGGCAAATAAGGGGGGTTTGTCTTCCCGATTGACTGCCTGCAGTGGAGATGCGCCGACCCGCCGGACGGAAGGGCCCCCGCACCCCCCCGGAAGTGGCCGCCGGGACCCCACGCCCCGGTCACCAACCGGCACGACGGTCCACCCCGAGATTATGCGTGACATGATGGGGCAGCCTCGCGAACTGGTTAGGAACGCTTGGGCCCCTGTACTGTGCCACGGGCGGCCAGCGGGACAGCCGTTTCTACGGGTCTCCCTGGCCGACGGGTCGATGCAGTCCTCCCGGCATCGGTTCCACGGATGCCTCCCCTGGACCGAATCCGTCGCGACAACTTCCACTCGAGCTCTGGTTGTACGCTGGCTGACCCCGAAACGCGCGAGAAGCACTTCACGGGTTTTTCACCATGCGCACGGTGGTAACAAACCAGGCGGGTGTTAGGCACCCTACCACCAGAAGAGCGGGTGGAAGCTCCGACATCCCTTAGTCGCTTCTTACGACACCCACGGGAAGAAAAGGGGCGGTGAGTTGTATTCTTTCTCCGTCACCGCACGGATATTAAATTTAATTTAAATTTTTGGTCACCCATCCAATGACCGACCACTGCGAAAGTTGCTTAACTACAACGATCGCAGCCGAACGCGCTAATCACATGCGCCATCGACCTCCTTATTGTATTTAATAGGATATGCTTATATATTCTATCCCTATGAGTACAGATTTATGTAATACTAGCACACCAGTGAACCAAATGTTCACCAAAACCTGATTTAAAAAAAAAATGTATTTAATTAATTGAGAACTTCGGAGATTTTGTGTGGTTTCGTTTGAAATTCGTGATTTCTCGAAAACCGGAAGTGCTACGTTACTCAAATCCGGTTTGTAGTCTTATCAGACTATTCTTAACTAATAACTTAAATATACTCTTTATCTATCTCTTACGGTTTGACCGCTGAAACAGCACCACGGACGGACGGACGGACTTGTCTAATAGATAAGAGATTGAAAAAATGCGATTTTCTTTAATAAATGTTACATGCAGTATGGTTTCCAATTCGTTTATTTTTCTTATAAAGGATGACGATAAAAAGGACAAGTCTCTGTGCATACGATGCGACGTCACATTCCAAAGCGTTGAAGCTTTGAAGAAGCACAATTCCGACAACGAGAATGATTGCAGAAGCGCTATGTAAGTAAAAACATTCCACGCGGACCAGGCTGCAGACGGGACTCGAACCCGCACCCTTCGCTATCCGGGCGTATACACTGACGGCTATGCCACCGCGTTAATATAAATTATAACTATAATTATGATTTTATTTATTTTTTAAGCATTTAACTGCTAGATGTTTAAATCTAAAGAAAAGTTTACTAGAAAAATATCCACGCGGACCAGGCAGCGGACGGGACTCGAACCCGCATCCTTCGCTATCCGGGCGAATGCACTGACCATTATGTTACCACGGCCCTATTGGCCTCGTCGAAATTTTCCTAGCCTATCAAGTATTAAACATTTGAAAGAAGAAATAGCATATAACTATAATTGCTCTTTCTTCTTTCAATGTTTAATACTTGTAAAGGTATTCATTTGACATTGTGGGTTACCTACAATGCGAAGAGATGGCGCTGCCTTGCAGCTTAAGAAAGGCTAGAAAGAATTCGACACGGCCGTCAGGGCCGCGGTAGTATTTATATATTCCTTCCCCTCACAAAAATTAGCCTTGCCTCAAAGTAATCACTGTAAGGCTTGTGTTATGGAATACCAGGGTAACGGAGAGAAATACATACAATACAAAGATAAGTATGTTTAGTAGAAATATATGTAAGCAGTTTTGATTCAACTATGCACCGGTAATGGTTGTAAAAAATAAAATTAAACTTAATAAACACTAGCAAACCAGTGAACCAAATGTTCACCAAAACCTGATTAAAAAAAAAAAGGATTTAATTAATTGAAAACTTCGGAGATTTTGTGTGGTTTCGTTTCAAATTCGTGATTTCTCGAAAACCGGAAGTGCTACGTTACTCAAATCCGGTTTGTAGTCTTATCAGACTATTCTTAACTTATAACTTAAATATTCTCTTTATCTATCTCTTACGGTTTGGCCGCTGAAACAGCACCACAGACGGACGGACGGACTTGTCTAATAGATAAGAGATACTAAAAGAACTTCCATCACAAGGTAATATTGGTAAAGAATAAATAGGTATTCATTTGACTTTGTGGGTTACCTACAATGCGAAGAGATGGCGCTGCCTTGCAGCTTAAGAAAGGCTAGAGAGAATTTGACACGGCCGTGAGGGCAGCGGTGAAATAATGGTCAGTGCATTCGCCTGGATAGCGAAGGGTGCGGGTTCGAGTCCCGACTGCTGCCTGGTCCGCGTGAAATATTTTCTTTAAAGGACAATGGCGAAATATTTGTTGAAGTAAATCTTTAACGTCTATAGATGTCATTGTCAGAAATGTTAATAAAATAATCTCAAAAGATTTATTAAACAAATCAGGAGGCTTGTCTAAGTCTGAAATTAAAAACTTAAAAAAAGGGAAACACAATTGACTATTTATTTATTTTTTATTTTTGAAGTGATACTTCTTTATCGGCGTTGGAAAAAAAATTTCCGTCACATTTTATTCGGTTACGCGTCACGTTTTTTGGTTACGCGCCATCTTTTTTTTAAAAGAGCACTATTTACCTCATCCGAACAATTGCTTCTTCTGTCAACTTTAAAAAAAAAAGAAAAGTATCGACAGCAAATATTCGTGTTTCACACAAGGTAAGGTAAGGTAAGGTAAGGTAAGGTAAGGTAAGGTAAGGTAAGGTAAGGTAAGGTAAGGTAAGGTAAGGTAAGGTGTAGTTATACCCCTTTAGTGGGTGAGTTTTTGAAAAATCTTAGCGCACGCCTATATATATATTTCTGGAAAGTTGCATGTAGATCATTTTTCGAAAAAAATAAGGCCATAAAGAAGTTTCACTTCTTACGTGTGTACACTAGTACACGCACACATTTTTATTTTTTATTGAAAGGCTCATATTCAATTCTAACGCAAAAAACTATAACTGTCACTGTCATGCTTGTCATCGAATTGTTGTTGTTATCTTTAACATTATCGTTGCTTGTGCGTTGCGTTTTTGTATTACTTGGTATGTCATAACCTCCAAAATTTCAAAGTAGAATATCTATTAATCCAGTCTTCTTATAATAAAAGAAATAAGACGTATCAAATCGAGAATCTAAAGTCTATAATTTGACATCATCATTATCATCAGCCTATTAATGTCCCCACTGCTGGGGCACAGGCCTTCCCTATGGATGGAATAGGGAGATTGGGCCATGACCCACCACGGGGGCCCAGTGCGGATTAGCGGGTGTTAACGACTGCAGATGCAGCCGGGACCAACGGCTTAATGTGCCTTCCGAAGCACGGAGGAGCTCGTGACACTAAATTTTTGGTCACCCATCCAATGACCAACCACTGCGAAAGTTGCTTAACTTCAACAATCGCAGCCGAATGCGCTAACCACTTGCGCCATCGAGCTTCTCAGAGGTAATTTAACATGCAATTCATTTATAGACGCAAAAAAAATTTCAACAAAAATTTGTATGGGAGTTCGCCATTGTCCTTTAAACATTGAGCAGTTACATGCTTATAAATTAAAAATTATAAAGACTATGGTTGAGCACCATAAGAATGGTTTTAGTTTATTTGGTAAAATTATGTTTCTATCTTATTATGTGTGGCGATATACCAGGAAAACTTCTCGCACCCACTTATCTGTGGGATTGATGTCGCCGTGGCTGAGGGCACTGGCTGGTTACCGGAACAAACATTGTTTATGGTGCCTTTCGTGTAAAAAAGTGAACATACTCTCTTCCTTAAAAAAACTGTCAAGATGTGTGTCAATACTTTTCTTTAATTATTATTAAAATATTCGGGACAATCGTAAAAACTACAATTGTGACGTGCACTTTCTGGAATGCCGGCAAAGCAGGGTCCAGCCGCCTCACATTACGCCCGTCGGAGACCACGAAACCCATCGTCTTGGAGGTAAGTGGGCGCTTCCTTTTTCCTGGTATTGAACCACATAATTTATAATTTTGGTGTAATCCACCCCAGGTGTGGGCTATTTACACGCGCCACACCAGACTAAATAAATGAAGTAATATGTTATATGGTTTGTATGCAGCCCTTGTGTCCAATGCGGGGAGAACTTTATCACAGACCAACTTCTAAAGGATCATTTGAAGGCGCATTTCAAAGACGAACCGGTCAAATGTGATGAGGTAAGATTATTTACACGTAAAATTCATATGATGTTTTGTGACTTTCCTTTATTAAAGGACAATGCCAGAAGTTCTATAGAGGTTTAACCCACCCGATAAAAATGGTGTACACGAATGCGATAAATGATATTTCATAGCTGTAATATAAGGAATCAAAATAGTAAAGTTGTAAATTCTCTAGAAGCTGTGGTTATTGAATAATATACTTACAAAGAGTACAATTATCATGCGTTTCTCGAGCTGCAATTTGAGCAGAAAATTGGAATTTTTATAAATTATTCAACAGTGTCCGTATTGTAGCTGATAGTGTATAAACGACATGCCTTTGTATTATATCGACACATAAATAACAATTTGTGCATCTCAATATGGTTCCAAATCACAAACGACAATGTCGTCCAAATCCTTTTGTTTGACGGAAATGTCAATCAAAAGGATATCAATCCAGAATAACGTTTAGTTTCACATAGGTACTACTACATAATAATGTGTATGCGCATAAAAAATACAAGGTACTATAATCGTTAAACTTTTTTATAAACATAATTTAATTATATTTATAACCGAACTGCTTATTTTATCCATATTATTAAAAAAGTGAACGATATTTTTCAAAAACTTGACTGGCATTTTATTGTTTGTCGTGAAACAAAACGCATATGCCATGTTTTCGTTCTTCTCCTAACGGAAACAGTAGATAAAAATTATTTTAATATTTATTTCGTATCCGCCGCTTTTACAAAGTAATAATTAAATCGGTACGAGAAAAAAAGTCGTATATATTTTTTCATAAATTTAATATTACTGTATATGGTGGGTCAGAATCTGTCATTGTCATTTGAATTTTTAGTTTTTGGAATTTACTCCTTAAGAATCGATTTGCATATTTAAGGGGCCCGGTATGAGAAAAATGTGAGGAGTGAAATCTACCGATGAATGAGCTCGTTAAGTTTTTACTGTCTACGCTGTAGCAGCCGTAGTGCTACACCGTAGCACAGTATCGTAGCGTACCTTTATTTATGCACATCTGAAATTGACTATTGTAAAAAGTTTAATGTAAAATATTTCGTCGATTAGTTATAATAAATGTATATGAAATGAATAAATATATATTTATGTATGTATATTATTTTCATTAATTTGTTAATTTACCCTTTCATACAGTATCAATCTTTTTTAAGTTAAATAAACTCTTTTTGCGTCTGGTTAGACTATCGAACTTAAGGAGTAAACTCCAGTCGTGCGTCGGAGCTGACACACACATTTTTTTGTTTTGTAAATTTCGAATTATTTGTTTTCTTTATTTAAGGTGTAGCAAATTACCATGTTAAATACGATTTCATTAAAAACATTTATTTGAAAATGTTATTGTGCGGGGATAATGTATGAGTAATATTTTGTTCCGTTCTAATTATAGCAATAATAAATAATGGCGTGTCAGTAGGCGCTTTTATCTCCATTTTGTTCTTTATTTATTTCATAAACAGCATTTCTTAGGTTATGGTTTTGTCTTTTTTTTCTCTCTTATTTTGGTTTATCCAAATTTTTGTAGGCAAAGAGCCGAGCCCACACAGCCTCTTGTGTTATTTTTTTGTTTTGTGCTGGACTGCTATGGGCGAGGGATGCGAGGTCCAGATTGTTTTTGTTTTTGTTTTGTGTATTAAGTGATTGTCTTGTATTTCCGTCCGTTGGTATCCAAATTAGGTCCCTCCAGAATATCAGCGTTGCAGCGGCAACCCATTTTTGCCGTTGCAACATTATGCTGAGGTGGGGCCTAGTTGACGATGTACCTTTTGTTTTATGTTTGTTGTGTATTTATTGTAATTGTTAATGTATTTCGTCAATAAATGTTTTTCTTTCTTTCTTTCTAATTAATTAAATACAAAATGAGTTACAGTTGGTTTCGTAAATAAATTTAATATTACATATTATATTTATCAACATTATATGAACGATGTTATGTTTAAGCACTTATTGTACTTTATATTGTTTTAAACTTTCATGGTCACTAACATTATAGATATTAACGGGATTGTTACCATGCACCTTGTTTTTTATGAGTCTCCGATATTATCAGTTACTCCGTGATCATGGCGCTTGCAACAGTGCCGAAATATCGGAGACTCATAAAAAACAAAGTACATGGTAACAATCCCGTTAATATCTATAATTATTGTACTTTATTTTCGATGATCAAATAATCCATTCATTCATTCATTCAATCGTACAGTGTAACCGTTCGTTCGCGCACGAGCGTTCGTTCGCGATCCATTTCCAACGCGTGCATCTGGGCGTTAAGGTGAAGTGTCCCACCAGTGCCTCGTCGCCCAACAGGCCCGTCGTCGTGTGCGAAATATGTGGGAAAAAGTGTATTGTGAGTTTAACCATAGATGTATTGGTGTCGATTCTGGCATGATTCTCTAAACTTAAAACTTAATTTAATATCAGTCTCTCCTTTTCTGTCTTTATAAAGAACTAGCGGACCCGACAGACGTTGTCCTGTCTACACGTCTTTAATTTGAAAATTTCAAACTTTTTTTAATAAGCTAAAACATTCTGGACCATTTTGATGAAAATTATCTAATAAATTAAAAATTAATTAAAAAACATTGTCCAGCGGACAAAATTGTGAATCTAAACCATTCTCAGATCCCCTTGAAGACACACAAAAAATTTCATCAAAATCGGTCCAGTCGTTTAAGAGAAGTTCAGTGACATACACACTCACAGAAGAATTATAAAAATAAGTTATAATTTTAGTCAAATTTACAATCATAAAACTTTAAATCATTTATTCCATTTACACATGTCAAATTATCAAGCAATTAAATATTATTAAATCACTACAATAAATATATATGTACAAACATACACACGCACACACACACAATATGACCGTAGGAGTAAATAATAATAATAATAAATAAATAAATATTTCCAACACTCACACCAATTAGCCTAGCCCCAAAGTAAGCACTGTAAGGCTTGTGTTATGGGATACTAGGGTAACGGATAGAATACATAAACTATACATATATAAGTATATTTATATAGAAACTAGCTGACCCAGCGAACTTCGTACCGCCCTAAAAAAATAGGGGTTGTAAAATTGTGAATCTAAACCATTCTCAGATCCCCTTGAACACACCCAAAAAATTTCATCAAAATCGGTCCAGTCGTTTAAGAGAAGTTCAGTGACATACACACTGACAGAAGAATTATATATGAAATGAAATGAAATGAAAATGAAATGAAAAGTCATTTATTCAGTCTAGGCTGTTACAAGCACTTGTGAAGGTCAAGAAGCTACGCCATCGGTTCGCAAAACTACGGCGGGAGACCTTGTACTGAGAAGAACCGGCAAGAAACTCAGCAAGGGCTGCTTTTTTCTCCCTGTATTGATATATATACAGAGTCGTCAAGTTGAAAAATGATTTCAGAGATACATCTGAAGTCACCTTCCATTACATTATTAAGGATATAGATATATAGTTACAATAAATTTTATATTTAGTATATAGGAAGCGGCATTAGATAGGTACCATATTACTGTTTCAAAAACTGACTCATACCCATCAAATAACAAATTACAAGAAACACTATGTCCATGCATTTCGATCATTTAGATAATCATTAACTTTATAATAGCCCTTATTCATAAGAGTATTCTTAATCTGAGATTTAAATTTGGTTAGTGGAAGCTCAATCAGATCTTGGGGAACTTTGTTAAACAATGCAATACTACATCCCAGAAATGAACCTCTTGATTTTTGGAGTCTGAAACATGGAACGGCAAGTTTGTTATTATATCTCGTGTTAAAGTTATGGGTTTGACTTTTTTTTGAAAATGCGTCATAGTTTTTTCTTACATATACTAAATTTTCATAAATGTATTGCGATGCCAGTGTTAAAATATTAATTTCTTTAAATTTTTCTCTAAGAGATTCTCTTGCCTTTAAATTATATATGGCGCGAACAGCTCTCTTTTGCAGTACGAAAATACTTTCTATATTAGCAGCTGAGCCCCACAACAAAAGGCCATATGACATAACGCTATGAAAGTAACCAAAGTAAACCAATCTTGCCGTTTCCACATCAGTTAGAAGTCTTATTTTTTTAACAGCAAAAGCCGCAGAGCTCAGTCTACTTGATAAGGCATCAATATGAGGATCCCATTGCAAATGCGAGTCTAAAGTAATACCCAGAAACTTTGTAGAATCCACTAACTCTACAGGCTGGTCATTTATTTTTAAACTAGTATTAACCTGCCTCACATTAGGTAAAGTAAACTTAACACATTTTGTTTTACTAGAGTTTAGTTTTAAATTATTTACCGTAAACCAGTGAAGGACTTCAGAGAGAGCACAATTTACTTCGTCATAACAATCATTTCCTCTCCTAGCTTTAAACAATAAAGAGGTGTCATCAGCAAATAGTACTGTCTCACACAAATCTCTTGTAAAGTGAGGAAGGTCATTAATATAAATAAGGAAAAGCAATGGGCCCAATATTGAACCCTGGGGCACGCCCATAGAAATGGGTGCTCCTGTAGACTCAGCTTGATTTATAACCACTTTCTGAATCCTAGCAGAAAGATAAGACTGTATCAGACTTAGTGAAATATTTGATACACCATAATGCTTCATTTTATTTAACAATGTTTCATGGCTAACGCAGTCAAATGCCTTAGATAAATCGCAAAAAATGCCAATAGCATCGTGCTTACTCTCCCATATATCAAAGATGTGTTTGAGAAGTGCAGTTCCAGCATCAGTAGTACTTTTGCCTCTAGTGAAACCAAACTGTTTTAAATGAAATAGCTTATTTATAGAAAAGTGTGCTAGTAATTGGTTATAAATTATTTTCTCAAATACTTTACTTAGCGCTGGTAATACAGATATAGGCCTAAAATTGCTGGGATCTGATTTCTCACCAGCCTTAAAGAGAGGGATAACTTTAGCACATTTCATTAGATCTGGAAACACTCCCTCATCAATACATTTGTTAAATATAATGGCCAGTTGTGGCGCAATGACAGTGATAATCGGTTTTATTATATATGTTGATATTCCCCAATAATCCTCTGTCTTTTTAATTTTAATTGAATTAAAAGTTTTTATAATACAATCACTACTGATATGTCTAAAATGAAAATCATTACTGCACTTATCAACACTTGACTCAAGGAGGGTCATTGCTAACCTAGAACAAGAATTAAGATTTCTAGTTGTTTCAAATGGTGCACTAGAAAAGAAATTTTGAAAAGTGTTTGCAACGGCATCATCTGTCCTAATAATCTTATTGTCTATTTTTAAAGAATATGTATGTTCATTAAATTTATTTCTTCCAGTTTCATTATTAATTATATTCCAAGTTGTCTTTATTTTATTATCGGAAAGACTAATTTTTTTAGATAAAAACTTAGACTTTGCTATGGCACACACCTTTTTAAAAGTTTTTGAATAGTTTTTGACATATTCTATAAACTTAGGATCAGATGAGGTTGCCTTGAGAGCATATAATTGATACAACTTATTTCTACTTTTGTAAATACCCGGTGTGGCCCAATCACTAAATTCCTTTTTAGAGCTATGGCATTTAATTAATTTGCGTTTAAATATTTTATTGAATTCATCTTTAATTAAATTGAATAAATCTTCATACAAAATATTATTATTATTACAAACTGGTAAGTTCGATATTTTGTGATAAACGTTATCTTGAAATTTATTTATACCCGTTTGTGTAATTGGTCTACAAGTTAGGTCATGTTTGGGTGAAGCATGATGGTGTTATATATAATAGAGGCTAATTGTCCACTATGATCAGAATTAATACAATTTATTATTGATTTATTAAAAACATTTCTATTACAAAAAATATTATCCAAGCAGGTTGCTGATGCATGTGTGATGCGGGTAGGCTCAAAGAAGGTATGCTTCAAGTTATATGATCTAAATAAGTTTAGAAACCTACTCACTAATGGACACTTAACTAAAATGTTTATATTAAAATCACCACACACAACAACCACTTTATTACATTTACATACTATGTTGAAAGTGTCTTCCATAGCGGACTCAAATTGAGTGTAATTCCCAGATGGGGGTCGATATACACATATTATGATCATTTCTTCCAGTTCCACGCAAGATAGTTCAACATTACGTTCAACTGAAAGTGAAACAATATCTGCACGTTCTTTGTATTTAAGATTATTCTGTAAGATTATGAGAGAGCCTCCCCTGATAGCCGATTTCCTACAAAAACTACTAACAACTGTATAATTATCTAAGCCTGTAACCAATTCATAATTTCTGAGCCAGTGCTCTGTAATACATAAAATGTTTATATTCATTGTATTTAAAAATAAGCATAGTTCTAAGTCTTTACCAGAAAAGCCTTGTATATTTTGGTGAACAATATTTAGAAATTTAGACTTTTCCTTGGTCTTGATATAGCTAGAGAGCTCCTCTGTTGTCTTACGAACTAATTTAAATTACAATTAATGTCAGTATTTGGAACAAATTCCAAAGTCTGATCCACATAATTATGCTGCTCAATAGAAGCAGTAGTGTTAGCCAAGTTTTTGGCTATGTGTGTAAAATAAAATAATAGCGAAGAAGCTATTTGTCTCTTATGGTAATATGAAAGATAATATTTATCTCTTGTCATTTTAAAATTATATATTAATTTATTTATATCAATTAAATGTACTTTTTGACCACTATACTGAGACATGGTACTTAATGTCAAATTTAGCCTGTACCTAATATTATTTTCTTCACTTGATAGACTCTTACTATAAGGAAATGTATACATAACTATTCTATTTACATTTAGAGAACACAAAGAGTTATAGTAAGTCATAATGTCATTTTTGCCAACATTACCTCTATTACCAATTAAAATAATTAAACTTGTATTTTTGTCAAGTTCAAGAGTTAATATTTTCTTCATTAATTGGTGCATTGTGACACCTGGCAAACAATAATTAATTGTATTTTCACCCAGCTGTTTTTGTAGTAAGCAACCCAGATCTTTACCAAATTCGTCACATAACATTATATACTTATGAAAGTTTCTCTGCTTAAAAGAATTACATCTAATTGTGGTCTCTGAGTGAACAGATTTATTAATCAAGGACTCACATACTGGATCAGTGTCATTTTCTTCAGTAATGCTCTGATTCGATACCAAAGAGTGACACTTTACAGGTGTGTCTTCGTGAAGGGAGGGGTTAGATAGACACTTTAAGGCCAGAATGTATTTATCTATCTGGTTTTTTGAGTTATTATAATTCTGAGTCATTTTAGATAATGATTGTTGAAGGCTTTTTAACTTAATATTCAATGACTATATAAAGATACATATTTAAACATCCATGACTGGAGTACAAATGCTCGTGTTCATCACACAAACATCTGCCCCCACCGGGATTCGAACCCGGGACCTCTCAAGTCGGCGACGCCATGAAACCCGGCGTACAAACCACTCGGCCAAGGAGGTCGTCAAAAAAGGAGTACCTACTTTTGTTGGATTTCTTTTGCATTTCTCGCTTTCATCTAAGGAGAAGTGGGTGTGGCTGAAAACCAGCGCTGCCCGAGACATTCTGTAAGGGTGAGGCCAAACGAACGTAATTTTGTGAGTGGTGAGTCGCAGAATTTCGGTCGCAGAAATTCTGCTGCATTCGGTTTCATACAAAAAGGCAGTTGGTGCCACACGACAACGCAAAATGAGTTGTCTGCCGACTCAATGCGCATAAGCTCGTCCGAATTTCGGTCGGGGTGAGGGTAGGGCAAGGATAGGGAGTGGGGAAGCAACAGTTTGTTACAAGTTGCGTGGTGTAATAATTCTTGAAAAACACGTAATGGCATATGATAGTACTTTTCAAACATATCCGGATTTGCACATAAACGTTCATATAAAGTATGGAACTGTCCACATATCAGCCTCTGACTATTCAGTGGGTTTAGCCAGTTTCTTTTTCTGGTCTCATCTTCTGAATATGCTTCGTAAATGCACAATATTTTTAATGGATCCATTGCACTCGACGACACGAACACCCCGTACTAACGCTCAATAGTAACTGAATGAATTGCGTTCGTATGGCAGCTCAACAGAAATTCAGTTGAACGTAAAGTAAGTGACCGAAAATAAGCGACTCACAACTCACAAAATTACGCTCGTTTGGCTTCAACCTAACGCAGCAGTTTATGCTGAGCCACATCCATTTGCTCTTCACGCTGTCATATCGCATTGTACTATGTATTGAACTATGTATTACTGTGAGAAATAAAAATATTTCTATTCTATATGTTGACGCGACATCTTAATAATATTCGTGCCAAATTTGAAGGAAATCCGTGCAGTATTTTTTGAGTTTATCCCGGACATACATACAGAGAAACAGACAAAATTTTTAAAGCTATATTTTTGGCTTTAGTATCGATTGTAGATCACACCCCAAGTATACTTTTAAAAAAATATTCAATGTACAGTTTTGACTTTCCTACCATTTTATTATATGTATAGATGATAAGGATACACTGTCGTCAAATTTAAGTTTAGGTTCAGAGAATCATTATGTTATTGTTAAAGTGAAACTTTTCATCATCAGCCTATTAATGTCCTCACTGCTGGGGCACAGGCCTTCCCTATGGATGAAATAGGGAGATTGGGCCATGACCCACCACGCGGGCCCAGTGCGAATTGGTGGGTGCTAACGACCGCAGATGCAGCCGGGACCAACGGCTGAACGTGCCTTCCGAAGCAAGGAGGAGTGAGAGATAGTAAATTTTTGGTCACCCATCTAATTACCGACCACTGCGAAAGTTGCTTTACTTCGACGATCGCAGCCGAATGCGTTACCCACCCGCGCCATCGAGCTCCTCGTCTTTCGTAAGTAGCAGGTTTTAAACCAGTTTTTTCTAGTTTCATTTATTGAGTGGTGAAAACTTAGGAAATAATTAACTATAGTTTTTTTTTAGGCATTTAACTGCTAGATGTTTAAATCTAAAGAAAAAGTTTTACTAGAAAAAAATCCAAGCGGATCAGGCAGCGGACGGGACTCGAACCCGCACCCTTCGCAATCCGGGCGAATGCACTGACCAATTATGCTACCACGGCCCTGACGGCCGCGTCGAAATTTTTCCAGCCTTAAGCTAAGCAAGCATCTAACAGTTAAATGCTCAAAAAAACAAAAGTATATTGTGTGTAACATCTTTCCTCTCGCTTCCCTGCAATTTGTGGGAGTGATTTCGTGAAACGAGACGGAAGTATGTAACAGGAAGTCGCGGAAGCGCGCGCCATTTGATTTGATTTTAGAACATAATGTTCAAATGGCTTATTCCTTTTGTAGTAGGTTTTATTTCTTGTTTTACTAATACAAGGTGAGGTTTCAAATGTTACACATCATACGCGACTACTGTAAGGGCTCCCTCGTTTTTTTAAATCATGATAAATGTATTATTAATAATAATAATAATAATAAATAAATATGAAATATTTCCAACACTCACACCAATTAGCCTAGCCCCAAAGTAAGCACTGTAAGGCTTGTGTTATGGGATACTAGGGTAACGGTTAGAATATATATACTGTACATATATAAGCATACAGTAGAATCCGTTTATTATGACTCCGCCTATATTGACCAACCGCCTATTATGACGTAGTTACACAACGAAGTTTGGTTTTCATATAAAATTCATTGTAACAATGTCGGATATAATGACTTCGCTTACAGTGACATTTTATTTTATTTATTTATTTATTTAAACTTCATTGCCATGCATATGCAAACGGCGGACTTAATGCCATAGGCATTCTCTACCAATCAACCTGAACGAGTGTTAGAGACAAATGGTATGGCGATAGAGCAAAATGCTTTATAATAAAACATTTAGAAAATAACAGGGATTAAAATATATTAATATTTTTATACTTAATTTGATACACCTACATAAACTACACAAATAAAATACATAAATAAATATATATGTCGGCGGATGGCGTCTCGCTCGCTCTTACGAAACGCAAAACCGACCACAAATGTCATCAGTCATTGTACCATTGCTTTGTGAAACGTCAAGTAATGACAGTGACAGCTGTCATCACTTGGGAGTGGTCTATGCTAAGGGTTGTATTTAAGGGGCTATGCTTCATTGGAAGGGGCATTCAGCATTCGGCATTCAGACGTGAGCCGCGGTAGTGAACGGACGTTAGCACAGAACTCTCCGCGCTTCACAGAGCAATCCGTTTGTACCTTGGCAATCATAACTGATTTTGTAAAGTAATAAGAAGATTCAAATTAAACGTTAGCTTGGTCACTAGACTACAGTTTTATTTTCGGGAAATATCATTGAATAACCAAGATGGCGGATCAAGATAAAACCACGTGGCCAACCGCCTATATTACCGCTCGTCCCACTCCGACATATACATACATAAAATACAATAAATATAATATATAAATAGATACAAACTATAAATAATAACAAGAAAGAAGAGATACCGTAGTCAGGTCAGGAAGTGTTCACGCACTAGTTTTTTTGAACTCCATCTTATTGTTAGAGTTGCGAATGTTGAGTGGTAGAGCATTCCACAGGCGTATGGCAGTAACATGTCGTTTATTATGACCCATTTTTAATAAATTTTGTCCGTTTATAGTGACCGACATTGTTCTTTACACCTACGGTAATGTTCGCCGACAACGTTCGGCACATCGTTTATGTTTTGCATCTCAAGAGTAATTTACATTTGAACATTAAGCATTATTTTAGTGATATCCTATGTAAAAAAAAATGACATTCAACGTCGTAAAGCATTTACTACTGAGGTAAAAGGTGCAATAATATACTGATTAGAAAATGGAGAATGAAACTCATCTCACAATCTTTTTTCACAAAAATGCTTTGTATGACGTCCGCTTAGTATGACATGTTCGTCGATTTCCTTCGAAGTCATAATAAACGGATTCTACTGTATTTATATAGAAATACGTATTAAACATCCATTACTGGAGTACAAATGCTCGTATTCATCACACAAACATTTGCCCCCACCGGGATTCGAACCCGGGACCTTTCGAGTCGGCGACACCATGAAACCCGGCGTACAAACCACTCGGCTACGGATGTCGTCAATTTGTTGCTTATATAGTGTGGTATATTAAACATAAGAGGAGCTCGATGGCGCCAGTAGTTGACGCGTTCGGCTGCGATCGTTGAAGTTAAGCAACTTTCGCAGTGGTCGGTCATTGGATGGGTGACCAAAAATTACTATCTCTCACTCCTCCGTGCTTCGGAAGGCACGTTAAGCCGTTGGTCCCTGCATCTGCAGTCGTTAGCACCCACCAATCCGCACTGGGCCCGCGTGGTGGGTCATGGCCCAATCTCCCTATTCCATCCACCGGGAAGGCCTGTGCCCCAGCAGTGGGGACATTAATAGGCTGATGATGATGATGATGATGACAATGATTAATAGTACCCAATGTAGCAAGAGCAGTCTCATCCCCGCTGGCAGCACCCGTTCACGAGCATGACGCATGAACCAGCCATCGCTTCGCTCAACCATTTCTTAGGGAACGTAACGACCCGCCTCACTTTACTCTTCGAAAGATAGAAAGGGGATTCTTCAAGATTCTCTCCATCCACCGGGAAGGCCTGTGCCCCAGCAGTGGGGACATTAATAGGCTAATGATGATATTCAACATTGCCCTCATTGTTTTCGTTTTGTAATTATGTTATTATGTTGTTTGTCAATCTAGACCAAAGCCACGTTAATGTATCATCAACGTACTCATACGGGGGAGAAACCTTATTCATGCCCTCAATGCCCTAAGAAGTTCAGCGTGCACCAGAGATTACGGGTAAGTTATAATCTCTTATCTATTAGACAAGTCCGTCCGTCCGTCTGTCTGTGGTGCTGTTTCAGCGGCCAAACCGTAAGAGATAGATAAAGAGAATGTTTAAGTTATAAGTTGAGAATAGTCTGATAAGACTACAAACCGGATTTGAGTAACGTAGCACTTGCGGTTTTCGGGAAATCACGTGATTTCAAACGAAACCACACAAAATCTCCGAAGTTCTCAATTAATTTAATACATTTTTTTTTAAATCAGGTTTTGGTGAACATTTGGTTCACTGGTTTGCTAGTTATTATCTAATGTCTATAAGATTCTCTAAATTATAATATAAATATAAATACAGGGTGTTACAAAATTACAAATAAAGCTTGAAGGGCGTTGAAGTACATCATATAAGGAGTCTTCTCTAATTTTCTTAAAATTATTGCATGAAGTTTTAACTTTTTATGAAAACAGTTATTTTTAATGAAAGACACGTCACTAGTTCGAGGATCATTAAAATTAACTGTTTTTATAAAAAGTTAAAACTTTATGCAAATATTTTAAGAAAATTAGAGAGACGCCCTTCAAGCTTTATTTGTATTTTTGAAACATCCTGTAGATGTCGCTGCCACAATAATATAAAGTTACAATATTATCGTACTACTAAGCAAAGAATTTATTTATTTATTTTATTTATTTAAACTTTATTGCCACAATTACAAAAATGGACAAAAGGCGGACTTAACGCTAAAAGCATTCTCTGCCAGTCAACCTTTAGGCATAAAAAAATCCACGAATGCGGCTATAATAATAAAAAAAAGTGATTTACTTTAAACATACACCAGTAAAAGTAACTACATAAATATTTATTTAAAAATAAACCTAAATATACATGCATAGAATACATTTAAATATATTACTTATATAAATATTTATAATATATATATATATACACATACTTAGACATAATTATTATTACTAGAATTCATTTTTGTATGTTTTTAAAAGACTATTGTATCTGTTAAAAGCAGTATTTTCTTATTTTAGATTCACCTTCGAACACACACAGGAGAGTGTCCGTACAAATGTGCGAGCTGTCCGAAAGCTTTCAAGCACAAGGCAGCTTTGAACAGGCACGATAGAGTGAGTATATTGATCAATTAATGTCCCCACTGCTGGGGCACAGGCCTTCCCTATGGATTGAATACGGAGATTGGGCCATGACCCACCACGCGGGCCCAGTACGGATTAATCAATCAATCAAAATCGTTTATTCAGTTTATGCTGTTACAAGCACTCATGAATGTCTAGAAGCTACGCCATCGGTTCGTAAATCTACGGCGGGAGACCTTGTACTGAGAAGAACCGGCAAGAAACTCAGCAAGGGCTGTTTTTCTCTCCCTGTTTTATTATTTACAGAGTCGTTAAATTGAAAAATGACTTCAGAGATGATTCATGAAGTCACCTTTCATTACATAATTATTAAATAATTATATACATTAATTGTTTACCTGCATTTTGATTGCTGTGTCATACGACTGTAGACGCAACCGGGACTAAATATGGGCGATTGTGAATGACATTATTCGAATAATTCGATTGTGGAAAACGTTGAGGGGTTAAAGACAAGCCGCACATTCATACATACACACTAAGGTTGTCAGGTGGTTGGGAAATCCGGGATTGTCCCGGAATTTTGCGTCTTGTCCGTCCCGTGTCCAGTAATTAGAGCTTGTTGTCCCGGAATCCCCAAACGCCAGTATTTTTTAAATCTAAAGAAAATATAACTAGAAAAAATTCCACGCGGACCAGGCAGCAGACGGGACTCGAACCCGCACCCTTCGCAATCCGGGCGAATGCACTGACCAATTATGCTACCGCGGCCCTCACGGACCGCGTCGAAATTCTTTCTAGCTATTCTTAAGCTGCAAGGCAGCGCCATCTCTTCGCATTATAGGTAAACCCACAATGTCAAATGAATACTTTTACAAGTATTAAACATTTGAAAGAAGAAATAGCAATTATAGTTATAATTTTTATTATCCAGTTATTTTTCTAGTTAGTTAGCTATTTTTCTAGTTATATTTTCTTTAGATTTAAACATCAAGCAGTTACATGCTTTAAAAATAATAAAAATTATAGCCAGTATTTTTTTTCACAATAATACTATGACCACCCCTATCTGAGAGGGGCGACATAAGTTTGCCATATATATAAAGGCAAAACATGTTTTTCTGGAGGAAGGGGGAAGGGGTCGGGGGTGAAATGTTGCTGCTGGGGCACAGGCCTTCCTTATGGATGGAATAGGGCCATGGCCTAACACGCGGGCCCAGTGCGGATTGGCGGGTGTTGACGACTGCAGATGCAGCCGGGACCAACGGCTTAACGTGCCTTCCGAAGCACGGAGGAATGAGAAATAGAAGATTTTTGGTCACCCATCCGATGAACGACCACTGCGAAAGTTGCTTAACTTCAACGATCGCAGCCGAACACGCTAACCACCTGCGCCATCGAGCTCTTTCAAACCAAAGAAAATTATTGCTAGAAAGAAATTCTTTATATTTAACAAAATTTTCCTCCTCAGGTACATACGGGGGCGAAGCCCTATTCCTGTTCCCATTGTGGGAAATGCTTCTCCCAGTCTAACTCAATGAAGCTTCACGTGAGAACGGTTCATTTGAAAATGCCAGCACCCTACAGGGGCAGACAGACGGACAAACTTATAGCTACATAACAATATACATAATATAACTTCCTAGTACCTTCTATTGGATGGTACCTTCAAAATAAAGAAAAAAATTAATCTTCTAAGGGTGATGCCAAACGAGTGTAATTTTGTGAGTTGTGAGTCGCTTATTTTCGGTCACTTACTTTACGTTCAACTGAATTTCTGTTGAGCTGCCATACGAACGTAATTTATTCAGTTACTATTGAGTTAGCGGGGTGTTCGTGTCGTCGAGTGCAATGGATCCATTAAAAATATTGTGTATTTACGAAGCATAATTCAGAAGATGAGGCCAGAAAAAGAAACTGGGTAAACTCACTGAATAGTCAGAGGCTGATATGTGGACAGTTCCATACTTTATATGAACGTTTATGTGCAAATCCAGATAGGTTTGAAAAGTACTATCATATGCCATTACGTGTTTTTCAAGAATTATTACACCACGCAACTTGTAACAAACTGTTGCTTCCCCACTCCCCTTCCTTGCCCTACCCTCACCCCGACCGAAATTCGGACGAGCTTATGCGCATTGAGTCGGCAGACAACTCATTTTGCGTTGTCGTGTGGCACCAACTGCCTTTTTGTATGAAACCGAATGCAGCAGAATTTCTGCGACCGAAATTCTGCGACTCACCACTCATAAAATTACGCTCGTTTGGCCTCACCCTAATATATAAAATTCTCGTGTCACGGTGTGCGTAATTGAACTACTCCGAAACGGTTCGACCGATTTTCGTGAAATTTTATATGCATATTCAGTAGGTCTGAGAATCGGACAACATCTATTTTTCATCCCCCTAAATTTTAAGGGTGGTCCATCCTTAATTTTTTGGACATTTTTTTTATTGTTTTATAATGCACTAGCAAACCCGGCGAACTCCGTTTCGCCACCAGATGGCTTCGTTTTATATAACATTTCGTTTGGTGATTAAAAGAAGATTTTCTTTTTAATTTTTCCTGAGTTTTCTTTGCTATAAACCTCACGGAGCCCGAGACCTTTCCAACGAATGTAAAACCATGGAAATCGGTACTTGCATTCTGGAGTTATATCGTCAGGAAGGAAAACCCGACTTATTTTTATATAGTAGATCATGCAAAATACATACAACCCTAAATTTTCACCCTTCTAACACCAACCCCTATTTTTTTATGGCTGCACGAAGTTCGCTGGGACAGCTAATACAATGGTGTCGATTCTGCCGTGATTCTCTAAACTTAAAACTAAATTTAACATCAGTCTCTCCTTTTCATTCTGTATAGAGAATGACAGGGATGCACTGTTGTCATATATAAGTTTAGCTTTAGAGAATGAGGGCTATCGCGTATGAATCCGCCGCTAGAGGCGCTAGTGTAGCGTGAGGTCTCCGAAATGTCAAATGTTATTGGTTGTTGGTTGACTACGCGGGTTTATTTCTAATTAAAATAATGTTGTGAATAATTGGTAACAATTCGGCTTAATTATGGCAAATATGAGTTATGTGGCAATGAATGTCAGTTATTAAAAATTTGAGCTTAGAAAAATGATTGTGTTCCCATTTTTTCCGAATAAAACGGAACTGCGCGTCACTGTGGCATGGCCTATTATGTTTAGGATATGGTTCTTTTGTGTTAAAATACGATCTAAATGTAACCTTTGATTTCATGTGCGTATTAATAAACTTTAAAAGTTACAATTTAGGACCTCACTCAACAGTGGCGCCATCTGGTGAGGCAGAAAACGGTAGCCCTCATTATGTCAGAATCGACATCAATATCAATAAATTGACTGAATGAACCATAGAGGTTATAGAGAAGTAGAAGATCGCTGTAGAGAATAGTGTCCCAGAAATACGGACAAAATAAGTGAGGCTCAGCGATGGCTAAGTTGTCTCAATAAAAGCAGGCCGTTGTGCGGTAATTTGAAATGACCAATGCCGCAAAGAAAATTTGTTAAATATTCAACTAACTTCATCTACTTGTACTCATAAACAGCTAACTTCACAGATACTACTTACCGACAGCAGCGCGGCTGGTGGCTGAAAAATGAACTATAAATTCTACAAATTTTCATGGACAGGCTCCTTCTCTCTAACCTCCATGGAACAGTTAATGAATGAATATCAATAAACGTGTCAACGAGTGTATTGAGTGAATGGATCGTAGATTTAAATGAATGATGATTGAAATTACCTTACCCTTGTTCTTAGTCATGAAATTTGCCATTTTAAAAGCAATAACAGTATTAATAATTTTATTAAATAGATAGATTGTTCCCTCATTACAGAATAGTTTTTGTATTTTTTTATATAATCGAGACTGTGTCTTTTCAATGCATTTTAATTTATTATTTTTTTATGATATGTTATTATTATAAATATGAGTAATGACATTATTTTAATGTTAAATTGTATAATTTTGATTTTATAAATCACAGATTATGTTATATGGAAAGGATCATGTTGTATTTCTGCCTTGCTTTGGTATAATATGTATATGTAAATGAATAAAACAATAGATGAATAACCCGTTTCATTTATCGTGAACATATTTGCTCAAAAAATGCATTTACGGAGGTATATATTGTTCGAAAGTTCAAAATTACGGGCCATCCAACGGAGCGTGCGGTAAAACGTTTTACCGCACGCTCCCATACATGGCACCGTGCGTATCCACATTTACATGTATTTTTTTTATTTCAATCGAACCTCCTTGAAAGCGCTTTTAATCTAGTCCTTTGTCTCACTTTAATATTAAGAAGAAAGAGACGAAAGATATAGTTCTAACCTTCACCAAGGACTTATTGGCGGGATCGGGAAGCGCCACTTTAGCAGTTTTGTTTTTCTTGTTGAAAATTGTGTTGTGGTGTATGTTAGTGTCTAATAATGGTGGATTATGAACCACTAAGTGTTCGGGAACATGCACAAGTGTTGGCAAGTGAAACGAAATAGCGGAAAGTGTCTTTCGACGTTCCCTCAAGAAGTCCACGGGGAGGTTCCAGTAAATCCCCACACTTTTACTGAAACATAGGGAAAGGGGGATTGACTTGACTGCCACTTACTTTGACTTGATTTATTACTTTGACCACAAGTGCTATAGTGTTTGTAAACATTTTTAACACTTGACATTGGCTAAATGCACAAGTGCGAAGCCATTTAGAAAAAAAAACTCACCAACCGCTCATGGCGCCAATTTTCTTTTCAGAAAAAGTTCGCTACATTGCTTATTTATGATAAACCGTTTTCTCGCAAATATGTTTTAAAAACGTTGTATGACATTCGTATTGACTATGGTAAATACTCGACTTTGTCTCGGGTTTACATTCGTCAACTCGTTTGTAATAACCAACTTACGGCACCAATATCATAATTAAAATTATTTATTCAGTTTAGGCTGTTACAACTTACAAGCACTCATGAATGTCTAGAAGCTACGCCATCGGTTCGTAAATCTACGGCGGGAGACCTTGTACTGAGAAGAACCGGCAAGAAACTCGGCAAGGGCTGTCGAAGATGACTTCAGAAATGAGTCATGAAATATGCTTTCCAATTACAGAGCATAATGCGACTCAGTGCCGCACAATGCCCAATTATGCTGATGCTTAATTGGAACGTGAATTAGTTTTCAAATGCACCAGCAGAGTGCGCTAAGTTCAGTGTTGAAAAAAAAAGTCAATGTTTGTACCTTCATCCATACGTGTCCGTGATGCTAGCGTACCCACGATCAATATACGGTTTTTCGTTATGCCATTAAATACTGCGTAAATAGTGCCAAATTAGTGTAAAAATAAAAAAAATAGTGCCTCTTTAATTTAAGAAATAAAGACCATTTTTACTCTGTACGCTACCATGACGTCAAGCTAGCGTACCCATGGCCGACCCCAAGAACGGTATATATTTAAGCAACGAAATTGACACACAAAAATAGTTCGCAAATAGTGCCCTGGCTTTACAAAATTTCATAATCAATACTCTTAAAGTACCAAAGATATTGAACTAAACATTCTTAGCTGGCGTCAACCTGGCGTACCCATAATAGTTCTCATAGAAAATAAACTTTTATCGTTATCAATTCTATATGTATAAATAGTGTGTCAAATAGTGCCTCTAACAGTAAAAGTATTTTATGTGAATCCGCATCACAACAATACATAAAAAGAATCTTAAATTCTAGGAATAAATGTATTGTAGTACAGTTGCACACAAAATTAATTTATGCACTAAGAAATTATCTATATATGTATTTTTACTAAAATAAATAGGTACTTTTTATAAAAAGATATTTTATTTCAATTCGAATTCACCAATCATCAATTGATATAAGAATTTCAACCTACCTACTAAGTACCTTACTTACCTACTATACTACGAAAATATTATCACTTCTGTACATGACTGTACTTTATATATAAAAATAATTTAATTGCTTTTTTGAAGTTATACTTCTTTAGGCGCGTTATGAAAAAATGATGAGAGTGAAATTTTAAGATGCGCGCGCATCACTGTAACACAAAATTTTAACAGCATGAAGTTGGTCGCTTTAGCGACCAACTTCATGCGTTACTTTTGTGTTTACCGCACATTAAGAAAATCTACTAAAAAATAGAAATAGAATCTCTATTTAGTGGGTGCTAACGACTGCATTGTGAAGGCCTATCAAAAGTATTTATTAATCTGGAACAACGGAACCAAAGCGCGATTCAGGAGACTACAGCGCCATCTCTTGACCATTGGTGTAGTAGAACCAAAACTACATCTTTATTTTTTGTAATAAAGTAACAGTTATAGGTATTCATATTTATAATATTTATCCACATGTTTCTAGTTTGTATATTCAGAATACGTGTTTGAGTTTCATACAAGTGCAAATGACATATGTTCTAATAAATTATATTCAGTAGCGATTTTAATTGAATATTTTGATTATTTATTTATTTTTTCAAATTAAAACTTAACTTTATTGACTCCACTTCCAGACTTCCAGACTTTTTATTAATTTATTGTAGTTAATTATTTGCATGTAATTAAAAACCAATTTTAAACGATGCCAAAGAAGGATAACTTCTCACGCGCCTACATAAGTACACGCACCCATTTTTTATATTGTTTTACTGTGAATTCACATCAAATACTTTTACTGTTAGAGGCACTATTTGACACACTATTTATACATATAGAATTGATAACGATAAAAGTTCATTTTCTATGAGAACTATTATGGGTACACCAGGTTGACGCCAGCTAAGAATGTTTAGTTCAATATCTTTGGTACTTTAAGAGTATTGATTATGAAATTTTGTAAAGCCAGGGCACTATTTGCGAACTATTTTTGTGTGTCAATTTCGTTGCTTAAATATATGCCGTTCTTGGGGTCGGCCATGGGTACGCTAGCTTGACGTCATGGTAGCGTACACAGTAAAAATGGTCTTTATTTCTTAAATTAAAGAGGCACTATTTTTTTTATTTTTACACTAATTTGGCACTATTTACGCAGTATTTAATGGCATAACGAAAAACCGTATATTGATCGTGGGTACGCTAGCATCCAGGACACCATCCATACTTATATTTATTTTTTAACAGTTTGAATGAACTTTGATTATTTAAAAAAAATTAATTAATGAAACGAAAGCTTTAATAATTTTTCAACAATAAATAATATTACTAACGATAACATATAAATAAAACATTTCGATCAATGTCAACTTAAAGATAAAACACTTGTTAATTTTCTTTCTCTAAGTTGGTACTATTGCACGCATCACACGAAAGCATCACTTTTTAGAGTGCTCAATTGTGCGAAGCGTTGCTGTAGTTGGAACACTCAACGTTAAGCATTATGCCGCATAATGCGCAATAATGCTGTAATTGGAAAGCAACAGTAACCTTTCATTACATGATATGAAATATCTATATATATCTTAAGTATCTATTAAGTACCTGCTAATTAAACATTTACATCAAAATTACTGCCTTATAGTATACGTATAAAAAGGAGAAAAATACAAACTTTCAAACGCATATTCACTCGCTTAAAGGCTGATCTCGGGGATAAAATCAATCCTAGTCTAATCCTTTCCCGGGACTCCCAAACTATCTCTTTACCAAATTTCGTTAAATGAAATGAATTGAGTTTTAAGCCAGAAACATATTAACGTGTCGTGTCGGGTCGTGGCGCGCCAGAAGCACATCGGTTTCATACATTACTATGGTTAGAGACATATTTACGTATCGTTTCGTGTCGACGCTTTAACCTCTCTATCTCTCTCTAACCCATAATAAATGTATGAAACCTATGCGCCACGTCACGCCACGACACGTTAATATGTTTCTGGCTTTATACGTGAAGAGGTCACAGACCAACACAGACCAGTTAGAGATACTACGCATTCCAATGACAGTCAGAAAAACTCGCAACAAAATGTGATGCTGGCACTGCACTTGGCTATTCGTATATGCTATTTGTAAAGATAACAGTCTGTCAAGCAATGAAAAGGACAGACTTTAGTTAGGTTACAAATAGCAAATACATCACAAGACAAGTCTCATATGTATCTGTCTAGTTTAAACAACCAACTACCTATCAGTTAGACAGGGAACGTCCCTTTAAGTAGAACCGCTCGATTAAATAAAAATAAACTTCCTTATTATCGTAAGTCGTCGTCCCACTTTCAAATAAAAGTGGCAACATCAAAATAATAGGTTTGTTCATATACAATTTCATTTTAAAAAAACCGTTGCTATACCTAGCCTAGCACTAGGCACTCACAGATTCACATGGCTATTCGTGGTTGCTATTTGAAACTTGACAGCAGTCTTGCTTTTTCATTCACTATTGACTATAAACATGTTATCGACATTCCAAATAGCAAATACGAATAGCCATGTGAAGTGCTGGCATTAGATATAATGTTTGAATTCCCAAAAAAAAATTTACGGTCATCCTACGAGAAAGGGATAAAAGGCCTTTATTTTAAAGACTTCATGCGTCCCGTTTTATTGGTATCAGTTACAATACCGCGTAACACTTAGTCGGTAGTACGAATACGAATGCCAATGGAATTCGGGTAAACGAATCAGTGTAAAATGGGTAGATTTCCTTTTGTTTACCCGACACCGTCTTCCAGGCAGTATTCTAGTTTAACTATTGCGTCGGATGCCCGAATTCGACTCATGTGTTTGATGTATTCGAAAACGGACTAACGACCAAATGTAATTGCGGCATAAGCCCTATGTTTATACTATTACTGGTGTCGATTCTGGCAAGATTCTCTAAACTTAAAACTAAATCTACGGAGCAAAGAAATATTATCATAGAAACAAAAGAAGTCTGGTATACCGGTATCAATAAAAAAGTGGACCGAAAACCTTTGCTGTATCGGATGGTTATCTACAAAGGAAATTCTACACTCACATAAATAGGCTAAGGTTTGGTAATTCGAGATTTAAATCGCATTTGCACCATATGCCAGTATGCACTGAATGCGTGTCACAAGAAGATCAAACACTGGGCTACATCTTCTTTTTTTCTTGTCCAGCTTTCAACATTCAGCGACTAATTCTAAAGCTGTGGATACACATGCCCGTAGCTTGCACACTAGCATACCAGCTTCTTGCACGTGCCAGCTACTGTCATGTGTATACGCTAACTGGCATGCATGCAGCTAGCACAACATTTGATTTACTTGCATGCCCGTTGAGGGAGCGGAAGCGTGAGGCTGCTAACCTGGCACGTGTGAACAGACGCTACAGCTACGGGCATGCCAGTAGCCGACTTGTTGTGGCCCTAGGCGCAGGTTTTTTGTTTTGATTTCGGAGGTCGTTTTTTCAAGTTTTTTTTGGTTTTTGTATTCAACATGGCGCGATGGGGAGATAAGAAAACTATACATTTCATTCATTTGTACAAAGAATACGAATGTGTTTGGAAGCCGACTAGCTCGCTTTACAAAAGCAAAACAGCAAATGCCTACAGCAAAATACAAGAAGAATTAAATCTGAATTAAATGCTAGTAACAACACGATTTTGTTTAATTCACTTCGATTGATGTCCTTATTTGGCGCGCAAGAATAAGTAGGTACGAGTGACTCTCACGAACTGTCCTGTGTATACGCTATGGTTATACTGGCATGCAAGGGCACAACTTGCATGCCAGTTTTACTTGCAAATGTATCAGCAGTGTGCCAGTTACTCGTACATGCCAGTAACTTTCATGCCAGCTACTTTCCCGATTTACTAGCATGTGTATCCCCAGCCTAATAGATTGACTTTTGAATACATCCCACCTTCGCTACAAGACATCTTAGCAAGCACAGAAAACTTTTTAGCTATTTACGAATTTATAAACCCGAAACTTTGAGAAATATAATAAGACACTCTCGGACTTTACTACAATATTATGATTATGACTTTTGAAGACCACTCTCGGAAAGAAGAAAAGATTTGATTATTTACAAATGAAAATAACAAAATAATTGACAAGATTTGGCTTATTGCCTCTAAATAACAATAGAATAATAGCTAGCACGCACTACGATTAAACGCGAGCGGTTTAGGAATAGCTGTAAACGCAAAACCGCATGCAAACACGCACTGAGGTTGGTGTTTTGCTTAATTTTATATCAGTACCACCATGGATTTCCAGCGGGTGTTGTGGCTTTGATTTTTAAATTAAGAAATAAACGTATTATATTTCTGTCTCTGTATTGATTTAACGGTTTGTCATATAATGCCGGCCTTTTTTCCACTTCAATAATAATATTTTTTGACACATAATCGTAGTCTATAGGCGTTGTTGCTGAATCGAATGACGACATAACTTTTTACGTAGCGTTTGCAAACGACTGTCCTTTGCGCTCTGCAAGTCTAGACTGAATAAAATCCGAATGTGGTTAAACGCTGTGCATGCGCCACCATACTATTATAAGGGACAAAGTGTTTACAAACCGCGATCAAAACGTAGCAAGTTACGTTTTTTAAAATCAGTCACTGAAAAAAGTCACAAATGTGTGCGCTTGTATAGTAAACTTATGTCCTACATTTTTTGGCGGTTTCAGAACTGCGATTAAACGTGTGCGTGTTATCGTAGTGCGTGCTAAGCCTATGGGCGTAAGACTTGGCAGTATGACTTAGTACCTTCGTCTGTCCCAATGGACGAAATTCAGTGTGACCAGATTCAGTATTTTAATACTTTTTCAGTATATTTCATCGATTTTTCCGAACATCAGTATATTTTCAGGTATATTGCTAGCTGTCAGTATTTTTGGGTATATTTTGGTAGAAGTTATGGCAACACCATAGTGAGTGATCGTCTTTGCGACAATGTTTGCGGAATTCCCCGGAACGCGAACATTGGGGACTTCCCCGGATTTAATTTACCTATACTTATACATGTTATCTATATGTAAGTTACAGATATGACAAGAAAGACGACCGTTGTCGGCGTTGTAGTATTGTAATACTACATAAATACAATTATCAATCAATACATAGTATTAATCGGACTTGCAGAATGTATGTTCGCCTTAAACTTTACAACTGCTGGACCGATTTTAATGCGGTTTGCACTATTAGATAGAGCGTGAAGAAATGAAGGAGGTTGTCTAAATTTTAATCCTTCGAAAAGGATGTTAAAATATAACTCTAATATTTATTGTGAGTACGTATGAATAAATAAAATGTGTTAAGAAAATAGTTTTTTTTTGGTATATCTGTCCTATGTAAGTCGGTATATTTCAGTATTTTTTTGAGGTGCCTCGGTATTTTCGTAAAATTGAATCTGGTCACACTGACGAAATTGTACTACTAGTACATGACATTGACATTAAAAACAATAACATAACCTCAAACGTAAATAATAAAGTAACGCTTAGAAATATATTCCTATTTCCTACTTATGTTTTAGGAGTTAAAACGAGGTCTGTTCTTAATTTTTTAAGTAATTAAACTATCATAAGATTATAAATACTATTAACATGATATCTGTCTTGATATCCACATTTTGATGTTATTTATTAATATGGCCATGTTATTTCAGTGAATTAATTCAAAAATGAGCCAATTAAAAGTAATTCTACAGTTTAGTGGCGGCGCTGAGTTACTCTTCGACAAAATAAAGAAAAGAGAGGTTGAATTGCCAGTCTTGGAGAAGTACTTACCCCAAATTAACAAAAGCGAATGGAGCATTAGAGAACTGCTTGTGTGGATGAAAGATAACTTGTTAAAAGAGAGGCCGGAGTTATTTTTACAGGTATATTTTAAGAACTATGTAAAAAGTAGGTCAAACTGTTCTTATTCTTCCGGTCCTGGGAGTTGACATTACACAATATTTCATTGAAGTGGTCTCTGTTAACGCTATAACGGTAATATTGATACCGTACAGCTATTATCCTAAGTTCATATAATAATATTATAAAAGAACCAGGTAATGTTAGTGTTGTGACCGGAAAAATACAAATCAGACATTTTCAATGAAAAAATTGTGATCTCCCAACCCCAACAAGAACAGTTTTACCCAGAAGTCCAATAATATTTGTACACAAAGCACTGTTAGGGATAATAAAGTAAAATTTTTTTAAGCAATTAAATGCTAGATCATTTAGTCAATGGGCACACATTAACTCACCGTTGCATGTGTGCATACAGTAACTAATCCTGCAGAATCGGCAATGTAAGTAAGCGAAATATTAAGACAATAAAGACAGTCCTCCTCCTCCTTGCACTCTAGTCCTGGGCACTTGTCATCATCATCGCCTACCTATTAATATCGCCACTGTTGGGGCACACGGCTTGCTTATGGATGGAATAGGTAGATTGGGCCCTAACCCACCACGCGGGCCTAGTGCTAACGATTGCAGATGCTGCGATCCCTAGCTAAAAATAAATGTTACATTGAGCTAAAATATTTTTGCTATAAACCGTTATTACAATCAGTGGGCCAATTGATGTGTCCGGAGGGTATATGCATACCAAATGCATTATTAATTTACACATACAGTAGCTTTTTTCGTAAAAACTTTTACGTTTATAATATCAGTAGGATTAACATAACATCGTTTTGTTGATTTGTTTCAGGGAGACTCGGTTAGGCCCGGAATATTGGTTTTAATCAATGACTCAGATTGGGAGCTCTATGGAGAATTGGACTATAAAATTCAGAACGGCGATGCAATTATGTTCATATCCACTTTGCATGGTGGATAATAATATTAACAATAAATATGTTATTATAAATCAACTTAAATGAATATCTAAATTAATTTTTTTTTATATTTCACACAAAGTGTATTATTTGTAATTTATTAATAAATCTATTTAAAGTTTCATTCCCTGGCATATTATTACTGAATATATTTTAACATTGTTTAGCGCAACCGCAGATTAGAGCCACTATTCATTAGCGCCCGCTAAATACGACCACAAGTTTTTTCACATATTTTGCACTAGCTGTACCCTGCGGTGTTCCCGCGATTTATTAGGGATATTTCCCACAGTAAAACGTAGCCTATGTAAAATCCAGGGTGTCAGCTAACTCCACACCAAATTTTATTAAAATCGCTCCAGCCGTTTAGAAAGAAGTAACAAATATACACACTCACAAACTTGCCTTTATTATATTAGTGTCGCCGCACACGGGCCGCACGCAACACCACAAACGCCGCGCCGCCACGAGAAGCTTGAAGCGGCTACTAAAGTGGCTGAAGCGAGCGACAGCGGCCGACTTAGGTGAGGGAGAGAGGGGTGGGGAATCGCGCGAGTGACGTGTGGCGGCATTTTGTATCGGCGCATTAAGTGGCCGGTGCGGGCCACAAGAAGCGAGCAACGACGATTTGTAGCATGTGGCGGCCACCGGCGTATCGTATATAAAATGTATGAAAACTACAAGAAATATGCCGGTGGCGTCGTTTTTGTGGTTGTGTAGAAAAATAGATGTTTTCTGATTCTCAGACCTACTAAATATGCATATAAAATTTCACTAAAATCGGTCGAGCCGTTTCGGAGTAGGTAGTTCAATTACGCACAACGTGACACGAGAATTTTATATATTAGATACATATTAAACATTCATGAGCAGAGTATCTGCCCCCACAGGGATTCGAACCCGGGACCTCTCGAGTAGGCGACACCTTGAAACCCAGATTACAAACCACTCGGCCACGGAAGTCGTCATTTGTCATGTTCAATTGTTCAGAGAAAGTAATCAGTAAGGCATGTTTTATGATGAAAAAAATTTTCTACGCACTTAATTTATTTTTAATATATTGGTCCGATGAAACACTTCTTGATTATTTGAAAGAAGAAATAGCAATTACAGTTATGTTTTTATTTTTTTAAGCATTTAACTGCTAGATGTTTAAATCTAAAGAATAGTTTTACTAGAAAAGAATGGATCTCCGCTGCCTGGTCCGCGTGGATTCTTTTCTAGTAAAACTATTCTTTAGATTTAAACATCTAGTATTTAAATGCTTAAAAAATAAAAACATAACTTCTTGATTAATGAATATTTTAGTCTATTTTCCACCTTCTTTTCAACGATATTAAATACCCTAGATATTTCTTTATCTCTACGCACTGAATGCGCTGTTAGCATAGCAATATAGCAGGTACTAGGGTTCCCAACCCTCCCGGATTGCCCGGGAGACTCCGGTAATAATAGTTAACCTCCCGACCTCCCGATGAGCAATAATTTCTCCGGTTTTTCTAAAAATTTAATGCAGTATATACTCGCTGTGCGGCCACAACATCTCTCGCTGCTCCGCTGCCGGTCTAAACCTGTTCGTCTCGCCGACGCATTACTTCCCCCAGCGACTTGCCGAGTATGTCGCACGTTTGTCTCTTGTTCTCAGTCTAATTAGATAAATCATTCAGTAAAATGCGTGTTGCGCTAACGTGAGTTACCTAATAATTTGATAAAAATAAAAAAGGAGAATGAGTATATGTGGTGAAAAATTGAGAAATATTAGCTACTGCTCGAAAACAAAATAAATATAAAAATTCTTAATTACTGATTTTCTTTCAGTCCCCCCCCCCCCCCCCCCATATTAATTTCTTAAACATACAATTCTCCCGAGTTGGTCCTTTCGAGAGTTGGCAACCCTAGCAGGTACGGACCGCGAGGAAAAGAGACGGCTATAATAACGATTAAGCATTTGAATATCACGAATATTTCATATTAAATCAGTTTGTAAGTATTAGAAAAAAAAATGCTTCAAATGCGTTAAATTAACAAACATTGATTAGATACCTGTCGAAAAAACGACCCAGTACGTATTAAGTATAAGTATTTTTCGCAATTTTTTCATGGAACTCTGTGGAATATTGACAACGGTCCGCGCGTGACTGTAAGTGAACCAAAAAGTGCTTGAGTGGTATTCACACCAAGGGCGGATCGAGCTTTGGCGCCAGGGGGGGGGTCATATAGTCGTGGTCAAGTCACAGTGGGTACAGATTGGGGCCAGCCCAGGGGGGGGTCATGACCCCCATGACCCCCCCCCCCCCCCTCTGGATCCGCCCTTGATTCACACTTCTTGATTGGGTTGGGACACATTTTGAGCTCACGTGGTGTATCTAGGGTATTTTATTTCGTTGGAAACATGCCAGAATCTACACCACTACAAGTTTATAGTAGAAAATCTAATATGGGTTTTAGTAATACAAATCTAAAATTGAACGTGACATCTTGATGCACGCAAAGTGGGATTTCCGAAATTGGTTTAAAATTTCTTTCGCCCCCCCGCCTTTTGGTTTGCAGAGGAGTCAAAAATTTGGGGCTCGAGTTTGTCCGACCCCACGAGTCCTCATCGTGTAGGGTGTAGTACAGACAAGCACAAAACGCGTATGCCAATAATACACACACATCAAAGAAGTCATAGCAACGTGCATCATTTATGCAGTTCATATTTTAAAGTATCTTTATGAAATGTATAATAAAAAGTGTCCATTAGTTTTTGATGAACTAACTGAAATTCTATTTAGTCCATAGAATTTCGTTTAAAATTCATGCAATATTGGTATTTTTTTTTTAATACCTAGATATAGTTATTTATATCATCAATATTATCAACCCCTGCTCGTCCACTGCTGGACTCCTAATGTATCTCCCCTAATGTATGCCACTGCTCCCGATTTTCTGCTACTCTCATCCAGCCCACTCCAGTCAGCCTACGAAAGTCATCATCCCATCTTGTCTCAGGGCGTTATATATATAATATTACCTATTTATTACCAGTTTCAAAGACTATAATATAATACTGTGATTATTGGCATCTTATAACCACAGAGGTCTGCATTTATGCGATGTACGCATTCTAGATCATCTTTAATTGCTAACGGAGTTACTTTAAGTATGACATTAATAACAAAAGTTGAATGAATGCACATTTAAAATAAACAAAAATATATCGGATAAGTATATTGTAAGATGTAATTTAAATGATTACTAGCTGGCCTAGCGAAGTTCGTGCCGCCATAATAAAAGGGGTTGGTGGTAGAAGGGTGAAAATTTAGGGTTGTATGTATTTTTGGTATGATGTATCATAAAGAAATAAAAACAAAAAATAAAAAAATGGTTGCCTGTAAAGTCGGTTTTACGGGCGAAGATTTTACGTGACAACGTCTTTTTCTCGGTAGAATATTTATTGATATGAATATAATTAAATTGCACAATAGGAACAAGGAATTGAATGAAAATAAGAATTGCACAAATTTTAACTATAGAAATATATTTTGTTTACTAAAACATTGTACATGTAAACTTAAACTCATCGTAACGTTACCGAGCGTTACACTTTTTCATAAGTGACTCCCAGCCGCAACCTAATTTAAGACGTTGTCACGTCAAAAATTAAGGGTGCACCCACCCTTAACATTTAGGGGGATGAAAAATAGAAGTTGTCCGATTCTCAGAACTACTGATTATGCATATAAATATTTACGAAAACCGGTCGTGCCGTTTTGGAGTAGTTCAATTACGCACACCGTGACACGAGAATTTTATATATTAGAGATAAACGTATTTTTTAAATTGTTTAAAAAGTATTATTTTAATTTATTTTTTAATATTCGTTTGTTACTTGTACGCGTCTGTACATTTGGCCAGTTACAAAACACGGGCGGATTGAGCTTTAATCTCCAGTAACACAATTAAGGCCCGTTTGGGGACCAAAAAGGTTTTATTATGTGCAAATTGAAAAAAAATACGACACACTCGCGCAGTTTCCATATTTACCTAACTACGGATACGGAGTGTATTCCGAAATATACATCAGTATACTAGCCAGTGGTATTGACGTCACGAATCCGACGCCATCTTGTACTGGTATGCTACCATATTTTTACCGGGAAAACGAATAATGGCGTATGACCGAGCGTGCGTGAGATACATTCGAATTTTATTTCTTTTTTATTTAGAGATCAATAATGGCATCCGAACAAAAAGAATTCTTTTTAATAGATGAGGTGAATAAAAAATCTTCTTTATTCGCACTTTTTTTAATATTTCGTCGATTTTTGACGTTAGTGCACTGGCTAGTATATTTCGGAACGATTCACCAGTATAGCGTCGATTCATGACGTGATTAGCACTGGCCAGTATACTGGTATAAATTACGGAATACGTCATAATGTCAGAATTTTAAAGTTGATTTGGAATTTGATGAACCTGTCACTGTTGATATTTCATTGGACAGCAAATAAATCAGATCAATTGCTATCTTGTAGTAACTCTGATCTGTGAATCGAAACTTGGTTTCGGACGGGGTGTAAATGGAAAAACCCTATTGTAAAGATGAAACAGAAATGCGCCACGAGCGTCACACGACTATTGTTGGCGGCTGGGTTAGTGTCGCCGCACACGGGCCACCGACCACAACCAAAAAACGTAAATCTACGGCGGGAGACCTTGTACTGAGAAGAACCGGCAACAATCTCAGCAAGGGCTGTTTTTTTCTCCCTGTTTTATCATTTACAGAGTCGTCAAGTTGAAAAATGACTTCAGAGATGATTCATGAAGTCACCTATCATTACATAACGTGAAATTAAACATTAATTGTTCACCTGCATTTTGATTGCTGTGTCACGCAATATAAATACAAACAGAGTTATTTATAATAGGTGTGTGTGTAGTCAAACATTGACATCTTAAATATCAAAGTAGTTAGGGCAGACTCATATCCGCTGGCAGCACTCGTTCACGAGCATGATGCATGAACCAGCCATTGCTTCGCTCAATCATATTTTAGGGAAAATAACAACCCGCCTCACACGACACCTGTTGACA